CTAATTAGTGTAAATAGGTTGATTGGCGCAAGAAGAATCAATGTTAATTTAACCTAAAACAAGGTAGAAAACAATCTTTGTAGTAACATCTCATTGTCAGTTTGCAAAAAATTCGAATTTTTGATTTTATAAAAATTTAAAAAATTATTGTTAAGAATTATAATATGATACAATTCTTCAGTACAGTTAATACTAAAATAAAAAGTTTAATATATCAATAAATGTTTACACGCCAAAAATTGTATGGGACATTGCTAATACACAAGCTTTTGTACTTCAGATTTATTAAAAATACACTGTATAGGTATTCAAAACCGAATTATAAAAACAATTTAGGATTATTAATAAAATTTGTAAAATATATTCAACTAATAAAAATATAAAAAAAAAGAAATTTCTTTGTAAAATATTTATGGTTTTAATAATAAACTTTTAATTAATTAACTTGTTATTTTCTTTTCAAATAATTTTCAATTTACCACGTTAAAGTTTTTTTTGTAATTTTTAGATAATAAGTTTTTATTAAATTTAATATTAGATTTTTTTTTTACAAATCAACTAACTTCAAATCATTTTTAAAAAAAATTACTTTGCCCTTTGCTCTCACCTATGTCTTTTTGAAGGACACTAAATGTTATTGATTATGACTATATTATTACTCACATTTGTGAAAAATTAAACATACGTGCATAGGAAAATAACAGCAAAGTATAATTCATCTGTTAGTTCTGACAACAGTTTACTATAAATTATAATCATATTCATACTAGTTCTAATTTTGCATTGCCTGGCACTGTCAACTCCTGTGTATTTCCATTGCATACACAGCGATGTCGTATACTCTAATCGACCTCCAAAATCAGAATGACGTTGGTTCTTCGTAAACCATTAAAACTCGACTTGGCTGTCAGTTCCAGCCAATTTATTTAATTACTAACATTTTCAGCCCAACGCATCATTTTAATAATACATTTAAAACAAAAAAATAAATCTCATTTTTAAAATCTTTTTATCCCTATTAATATAATACAACTATATGCTACTGTCTACTTTGTTAGCTTTTGGCACGGTTTTTTTATTAGGGGGTCGGGTATGGTTTAATATTAATAATAAGTGCTATCAAAAAAAAAGTTGAACGTATACAAAGTATACAATAATTATAAAAAAAAGCATACTATAATGTACGTCTTAATACACAGTTTATATATTTTTATCAACTATAATTATACCAAAGTACTTAGGCTACCTAGGCGATTCAGATAAGCCTTTCTTCTTTTTCTTTTTTTTTAATTACAAGTCCATAAGAAGACAAGGGGGGGTCACCTTACAGTATTACTTACCCTGTGTTCCCGGCACCGTTTATTGATGACAAAATTAGAATACAATATTATACAATTTAAGTACAAAAAAGAGCGGACTCTATTCCACTAATCTTTGGCCTTCAGCCCACATTAAACTGCTAAATACTATACTATTTACACTTGGAAGCTCTAAGAATAAAACACAGACACGAGGTTTGCAGTACGCAAATGATATCATAATTTACACTGAATAGAAGAACACACACATAAGTATCTTCAAGTTCAGAACCAGTGCAAAAGTAATACAATATACTCTGCCGGTGTCGACAGAGAGCGTCATCCCGACATTACCGTTTCGGCGGCCAATAATAGTAAACATTGATACTATGCTGTGTCAGCATTATCAAACCGTATTACAACCATTGTAAATTGTTGGTCGTTATTGCTCAATATTTCTAGTACAAGTTGATTCTATTAAATGTAGTACATTTCATGGGACATAGTATATTTCAATGTTTTTCCCACTTGAAATTCTTCACAAAGCTCGTAGTACACACTCCTGGGACATCTTATACTGGGTAAGGGTAAGTTCATTGTACTGAATCTATTAGTACATAATATAATATTTGAATAAGCACAAGTTGTGCTGCACAACAGATTACACCACTCTTATACGACCAACACGCACACAAGAGCTACAGTTGTATAATATTATGCTCTTATGATCCCGTATGGGTCACTGCTATTTACAACATTATAAGGCGGCTTATATTTATAATAAAATTCTTGCCTATAAAGCTATTTTCGTTCGAAAGCTTAACATATTTTCACACAGTACACGTCTGGTTCTAAATTTTATTTATGATGATTGATGCAAGGTAAACATTGCTTCGACTATGATTTAATTTGTATACGCTAAGAATATGAATAAAAAATGCCTGCAAGGTCTTTTACATATGTTTTATTTTTATAGACGTTTAAAAAAACAATACTTAATTTTCTTATGTAAACACACAGATGAACTATCAGATATTTTATTGTAACGTTCAAGAAACTCTATATCTATATTTTATATATTATTATTCTATTATTCAGCCAACATAACCAATTTCCATTTTCAATTGTATATCACGAAATAGAATACAATAATAATTATGATTTCCTTTTTTTTATTGAAATAGCAAATAGTTGTTGTCCCATTAAATTGATAGAAGTTTCGCAAAAGTTAATCCGTAAAAAAATTACAAAATATACTCATTTAAGTAACATTGAAAGTTAGAACTTACGCCAGTGGCCTTAGTAAAAATATTATTTTAGCGTAGAACAATTAATTAAGAAGGATTAGTAAATGACGTTGTAACACACAGGCACTACGCGGTTATCTTTTTTCCTAACCAGCAAACCATCTGATAAACTTCTCATTTTGTAGAATAATAACTGGTTACAATACCTTACAATTACTAAAACAAGAGAGTATATACTACACTTTAAAGTCGAAGTGATAAATTGCTGTATTTAAAAATAAACGATGTCAAAAAAAAAATGTCCTTATGATTAATGACAACTAAATTGATATTAATTTGTTTGTCTGATGCTGAAATGCAAAATGATGATGGTTTTTTTTAAGGTGTTATCAATGAAGAAGTAGAACCGATTGTACACGGTAAAACTTGTAAGGTGTTCATTCAAATTTGAATATTAAGTACTTGGTTTATAGAAATTAAAGACGTAATACAAATATCATGTCACGTCGTAAATAGATATATTAAAGTAAAATATTATAGTAATGAATTCATTATTATTTTTTTAGTAGGTCAGATCAATCAGTATTGCTACCTATGGACCGTGGACTGTGAACTATGATACAAAATAGTTTCAATGGAAAATCAGATAAATACTTAAAGGCATTTGACTTTATCTCTGGTTCGGAAAAATGGAAATAGAATATAATTTATTATAGGTACTGTTTAAATATTAAACTATTTTATGTGTTTAAAATATCTTTCCATTAAGGGGTAATAGGTATTCCAGTGAAAAATATATTCCTAAAGTTTTAAATCGAAATTCTGAATATTCGTGTAATTATTATTGCTTAAATATAAGATAGCCTGAGGCTGTTTAATTTTAATTAACATTTTTGTTTATGCGGAAAAGACAGAGAAACCCCTATTTGACCATTTGATTTGCTTCTGATATTTATAAAAATAAAGTACAAATCTGCATTAAAAGAACCAAAAAATAATTTTATTTATTAATTTTTTAAACGCTGTTAAAAAAAAATTATCCCTATAACGTTAATTCCTCGTCATAATCATATTTTAACATTTTTTAATTCACTTAAAAAAACTATATTATAAGTAATAAAATATATTTTTTCTTAATCAAAAATTGAATGTTACATTGACTAAGCAATGATGTTAATTGCTAATATACCTACAACTTTGATCAAAATGATTATTTGTAATTACATACACATTTACAATTTAGATGTATAGTGTGTATACATTAAACTTGTGTTAAACTTTAAAAAACATAGACTAAAAATATTTTGTACGGAAAAAAGAACAAAATTTACATTTTTTAAGTTTGGTAAACCATGTCCAACTCAAGGCTAACTAACGACTAATATTGTATATTCATAGAGTTCACACAGTTTGGACAACAAATTATTCCATCAAATACAGTATCATAATATGTATTGAGAAATAAGAAAAAAAATTAATAAATAAAGCGATTTTTTTTTAATGCGTATGGTTAAGAAAAACTTTTGTAAGAACTTGAGTTGCTTTTACGGTGAAATACCGAATTTATCAGGCGTAAAATAAGCTGTTATGACAGCTTTGCCTGCGCGCCTTTGTGAGTTTTTACGCGACAAGTAGGGTTGTTTAATGTACTGTGTTGCACCATCAAAAAGCAGCGGTAATGACATACCTCATAAATTAGAGCATTACCATCTGGTTAAAAAATATTGACCAACTCACGCATATCGGTGACTGTGAACAGCTGTATAATGAGCTCAATTCAATAACCTACATCATAATTTGGCTACCTAATCGGAAAATCTACCATGTGCTAAAACCTGATTTTTTAAAGGAAACAAAATTCATTTGAAAAAAAATCTAAACAAAAAGCATAATAATTATGTTAATATTTAAGTATTAGCCAATGTTTAACCAAATTTTTCCTATCATAGGAGGTATTTCATAAACAAATTATTGTAGTAACACAAGAGAGGTTTTATTTTTTACTTATTCTACGATGATGAAAGCACATAAAAGATTTGGTTAGACTAAACCTTTTTTAAATCTAGAAGTACCATAACTTCAAAATCATAAATTTGACACAGGATGTTTTTTTTATGTCAACGACGATGTACAATTATTTATGTACAAAAAGCTATTATAATTATTGTTAACCTGTTTTTTTTTGTTTTTGTTGCTATTGATTATGGCATATTACAGAAAACAAGAGGATTGTATGTTATGTGACTGGGCACTTAATCTATGCCCTGTACGCGGTTAAACATTATAAGCTAATTGGCATTTGCCATCTAAAACAGACGATTTAACTATTTATTTACTTTATAAACAGCCACCACGAAACGGAACTTAAGCTCATTCATAAGGTTAAAGAATGCTTTATAACGTTGTCTTTGCTTTAAAGATATAAATCCGTAAGCAAATAATAATAGACAAAAAATCAACAAAATATATTTATTTTTATTGTAAACTACATTATACTCTCTGACACTATATAGGTACAAAATATTTTATGAACAAAATAAAAACTTTAGAGTGCACAGCATTATAATAAAATATACATTTGGATTTTACGACGTAACCATCGGTATTCAATTTGTACATCCAATATAATTTAAAGGAATGTTGGAGAAATTAATAAACATATTTTATAATACCCTTTCGATGTACATGGAGTATGCCTTGATGTGTGTTCATTTATCAATATCCACAAAATGCTGAAGGGCGATTGCCGTCCAGTTTGCATGCCAGGTGATGAGGCGGAATTCATCGCTTTCTTTCGAAAATATTTCTCTCTGTTCGTTAATTTTCGATGGAAAACCTTTGAACCAAGAAGAGATCTGTGAGGCCAGCTGTTGCTCGTTTGAAAATACAAGACCGTTTTCGTCGTGCCGGACCAGTTCGTGCAGACTGAACACGATATACACAGTAAGCAACAATGATAATAGTGATTAAAATTGGGATTAAAAAAAGGGAAACGAAGAGTGGAAGAATTTTTCTTCCTTTTCAGACTTCAAGGAGATACATATATTATATTATTACAACCCCCATTCCTCCAATCTAAGCTGAACATCTTACACGATTCACGTAGTTTATAATAAGAATGAGTGGTAAAGAAAAGTGAAGATAAGTAATAAGGAGGGAAAGGAAGGAGAAACGCTGGCCAAAACGTTGTAGGTGCAAATTTGGATCTCACTGAAATGTGGTACACGAATTTTGAACTAATCCCCAGGTCCCAGCTATAAAACATACGTATTTATGTTTAAACTATGACAATGACAATAATGATTGAAAACATTTGAAATTTGTTTACCATTTGAAATCGTATGCACACACCGGCAACCCAACGCCGAACATGTCTATCACCTTCATTGGCAAGTCGAGGCCGCTGGACGAGTCGTGCAGACAAACGCCTAGATCCGCGCTTGCTAGAAAAAACGAAATCATATCAAGCACTTATTAACTCCTCCAAAGCCAGAATATCAGAAAAACAATACCCAACACTGTTTGTAGAAATGTGATCTAAATGCCATCTGCCAAGTATAACATCGACACAATAATAATTCAAAATCGTCTCACACACGAAAACTACTTACAAACTTAGTTCTTATAAAAGTGTAACGAGGTAAGCAATAGTGTATGAAAGTGAGTATTAGTCTCCGAACAAGAGGAATGATCCAAAAGAGCTTTAATAGATTACTTTTAGTTAGGCAAACGAACTATAACTTTACATAAATATGTACATCTGTACAACATTGATTTAAAGTAAAAACCTAATCCTTTTATTTTTTTAGATTTTTCGATGAATCCGAATCAGATTCTTCAAAATTGATCAGCACGTTTAGTTATCTTTTTAATTGCCTCCATTTTTTTTTTTTTTTTTTAACCCGTTTTTATGTATTTCCACAACGTGTTTTGAAAGATGATTACAACTTTGGAGGCGATTATAAAACATGCTAGAACAATTCTGAGGCCTTACTTGGATTCAGCAAAAAAATAAAAGTACATTGGTTTTTATTAAAAAGAAACGGTTTTAATGTTAACGGTATAATCAACAAGTAGACTTGAGAGTACACTATACAAGCCATACAAATGTTGACGTCTCGATTTCAATTTAAAAAACGCCATGTGTCATGACACAAGCTAATTTGTAATTCACAACAGAAGTGCCATTTGGCACTTAGGATTTATAAACATCTTCAATCACTTTTTTTTTCCGTCAGATAACATGCTGGATTAAAAAAAAAGTAAAGTTGACTGGACCAATCAACAGTCGAGGGAACACTAAATAAATACGTTAAACTTTTAATGAACGTTGATGAAATCTGGAGTAAATATTTTACAAAAAATCGTGTGCTAGTTAAAAAATGAGTGCCCCGTCATCCTTAAATAAGCCAATAAATAACAATACATAAGTTATGACTAATTAATAATTGAATATTTACCCAGTAAAACCGGATACTCTTCGTTTTCCAGCCACGGTGTGACTATGGTAACTTTTTTCCATGAGAATTTCAATATGGTTTGCTGATAGTGATTTTTCATTGGCCCTTTGCCTGTTATAACGCACACAAGTTTCGGATGGGTGTTATCAGTCTCATCATACTCTGCGACAACACAATAGGAATGATTTTTTTTATTAAATAGCATGTTCGAACGACATTGAATGCGCTCTGTAATATTAGTTTCCGAAGCCCTTAATTGGTGGAATCCCTTTTCCCGTTTTCTCTTACATGTTTTAATAGTATAAGCAAACATTTACTTTGCAAGGCTCCCAGAAGAATGGCAAAATCTTCGTCGGGTGTCCAACTAGTACTGGACACAAGCATTCCTGGTCTGTCCTCTTTCAACTGTACGTCTCCCGTTTTGGTGACTTCGGCAAAGTCCGTCAAACCTAACTTATCCAGCACTCTATTCTTATCGGCTAAGGTGAATTTGTTGCTGAACTGCGGTCCCGGTCGGTCGTACAGAGTGGTGGCCCTAGACAGCAACATCACGTTATTTAGTTATGCAAATTTCTTTATGGTAGTCTAATGCTCTCCCTTCATGAATATGTTTTATAGCTAGGGGGGTTGTCAAAAATGTGCGTGACTTTTGTGATACACAGAGAAGGAGGAAGTAAGAGAAATGAAATAATAAAGGAATGAGAAAGGGAAATAATAGTGAGATGGGGGTAGGATGGTAATAAAGGAAAATTGATAATTCTGGATAACTAATAAAAGAATCAGTCGATAAGAGACCGAAAATCAGCTGATCATAAGACATTTTTATGTACCACTTTATTGACGTCGCTTTTAAAGAATATTAATGTTTAACTCGAACATCTAACTAAATCAAATCATAGACTACAACTTTCCTTATTTTATGAGTCACGTGAATTTTTCGAATTTCACACTTGTTATAAATAATTTAACACGCATAAAAATAACAAAACATAGCGTTTCCTGGTTATGAAGCTAAAAGTTTAAAATTTGGAAATTTGATGTGATATATTAAATGTAGAATTTTAAGATGTAAGCAAATCTAATGTGGTGGTAATGTCTAACGATAGATTGAAAACTAAATTTTAAAACAAAAATAATATTCATCAAATAACCTTAAAAGTCTTAAGGATTCAAAAGCAAGTAACATTTTCAATTCGTCTGGAATCGATACACGAAATTTTTGAAACTCTCGTTGCAAGGGGTGCACGACAAGTAAGTACCAGAACTGACCTCTACCCTCATATATAACCTTATGGGACTGCTCTTGCTGTTATACAACAATTGTATCATGAATGTGCATATTGATGTGGTTTCTCGTTGGTTTCCGTACTAAAGGAGTGTTTTTTTTTTCCATACGATTTCTCAGAGAAAGTAAAGTCGTCCCTGATTTAATTTTATGATTTATGTACTTGATATTCCAGTTGGCAGCCAAGTCTTCTCGCATTGCTTTGGTGACGCAAAAATTGGCGTCGGCCAACTTGCCAAAAACCTTCTCGTACAGCATCGAAAGCTTGACCAGAGGAGCTTTCCGGCCCACGGTCAAAGCTAGCACCGTGTAAGCGTAGTTGTGCCAGTCGATCACGAATTTAGAGTTGACCAGCAAACAATAAAACCAGCAGACAGCCAACGTGGGAATTGCCGGAGGGTTTTGTACCAACACGACTTCGGATTTACGTTTAGCCAAGATGGCCCAAAACAACGTTAACGCCTGCCAAAAGACTTTTAGCACGAATGCTAAGGTCCTTGGTACGTCTATAAAACAATCAACCAAAACCAGGCTCGTGAGTACATTTTTTTATTTTTTATTTTTAGAACTAAAGTTCACAAATATCTTCTACTCCTCTTTGGCCAGATGCGAATTCAGGAGGGGGAGGGAGCGTCTAGGAAAGTTCAGATCCTTCAAAGCTCTCCAAGCTTTCGCGAAATTCGCAGATAAAAAAATCCTTAATAAGGGGCTATGCTGGTTAAGTTGCTGGTATTTTTCGGGAGCCTTGTACCCGCGCCTGCCTTTGACGATCAATTAAAACCACCCTTAACTATATGAACCTAATAGCAGTAAACACTGAAATATTATAGACACACTAACCCTGAGGATAGCTAACTCTTAGTGATATTACTGTCATAAAAATTACTCAAGTTAAATGTTTTTAGTACCTACATCAATGTTTTATACGAAACTCAGAATTAGTTCTCTGAGTTGCCAAACTAACATTTCACGCCAATGCTTTAAAGCAAATATAAACTTTTTTATCGTAATATATCCAAAATATTATGTAATACAGTGTCTAAAAAGTGATAATGAACAAAAAAAATTTTAATTAAACAAATATAAATAATAAATACTATCTATATAAGAAAAATATATTATAACTAATAACTTAGGTTAGACATGGTTTTAATTGAAGTAACTAGTAATTAATTAATGATTTTTTTTAAAAAAATGGAGATTATATTGTTTCTTGTAATTTTTATAATATATATTTTCTATTCATATCAAATAAATATTAGACATTTTTGTGGTTTACAGTTTTAAGGTTTTTACTTACCTAAAAAAGTTGATTCCATATCACATTTTAATTAAGTAAAAAAATAATTAATAATAATAATTATTAAAATGTATTACAGCATTAAAACCAAAAACTATATAAATGTACCGTGATAAAAAGATTAAGCAAAAATTCTAAAATTAAAAAAACTGCAATTAGCATGTCGAACAACCGTCAGCCTAGGAGGAAAAGTAACAAATTGAGAATAATTTAATTATTAATTATGTAACATTGTAATTGTATACCTCTTTTCTATGTTAATAACCATCAGGATCATTATCCTGATTTCAGATGACAATTCAACCTTTTTAAAACGTGGGTTACCTACTCTAAAATCTAAAGGGAATTACTCCATACATCTAATTTTAGAAGTCTGCATTGATCGTTATAATATTTAATAATACTTTTCTTTAAGTAGTTACAATACTTACGTCTATCAAATGGGGGTGGTTTCTTCAAATTAATAATTTTTGCTTTTTCTTGCAGATCGTTCAATACCGGACTGTCCAAATATCCAATAATATCCACATCAAATCCTTCGCGCAACAAAGATTGTGCATGGTATTGCATCCGTGGGCTTCTGCCTATGTCGCCCAAAACTATTACACAAACGTTTTTCTTTTTGTCCGTCATATTTTTTCTACTCAAAAATATCAAATAATATACAATGTGATAACATGTAAACTAAAAGTCGGAATAATACATTATCATAGTAGAAGAAACATATACATGATATAATTACTCATCAAATAGCAATAATAAAACAAAATAAAAAGCGAACAACATCAATTTTGAACTTGTCTTGGTCGTTTTGAATTTTAGTTTGATTCGTGTGATAACATCTAAAATGTTATCATTTCGATTCGTCTATTAATGGAAGAGATTGCGACTTATTAATATTTTCTTCCACGGAAATTATTATAAAAACTCGCCAATTGATAACACTGATGAAGTTATCATTTCTCAACATTCAAGTCCATGCCAAGTTTTTTTTTCAAAAATATTTTTATTTTTTATGATAGATAGAAATAATAAAAAATATGAAATAAGAATTTACTTATTAAAATACCAACTAGCTTACTCGTCGATACTCCAACATTAATTTAATCATTTAAGTGAAATGGTAATTCTTGTGTATGGTAAATAATAAAATTGTCTTGTATTTTTAAAAACAATTTTTTTCAAATAGGCTTCCGCCAGTAAAAATTACGAGGGAAACGAAGAGAAAGAACTTAGTGAGAATTTATCCAACGTAAATATTGATCAGGACAGTTCTGAAGAATATACCAATTCAGATGATGACAGCGGTTAGTTAAAAACGGAAAATTTACAAAACATAATGACTATTTTCTGAAAAATCAGTTCATATTTTGGTTTCTGCATACCTTTTTTAAAATAAAATTAATTTTTACAATTTGCTTTTAGATAGTGACACATCAGTAGAATTGGAAGTACCGTTTAAAGTTGGCATGTGGGATTTAAAACAATGTGATCCTAAACGGTGTACTGGTAGAAAATTAATGAGAATGGATATGATCGATAAACTTGGAATGTCGGCAATGTTCAATGGCATTGTCCTATCACCCGTAGCTACTGAAGTAAAAATTTAGTACACAAATCATGTATTCAAATTCTAATTGTAGTGTTTGTAGAGCGTATCGGCTAAAGACAGTACCATTTTATCAAAATATGGAGTGGCTGTTGTCGACTGTTCATGGGCACGTCTTCAGGAAACACCATTTCACAAATTACAGCATAGAAAAGCCAAGAAAAATCTCAGGCTATTGCCGTATTTAGTTGCCGCTAATCCGGTGAACTATGGGCATCCAAGTAAACTGTCTTGCGTAGAAGCATTGGCTGCAGCCATGTATATAGCCGGGTTTAAAGAAATCGGAGATTTATACATGTCTAAATTTAATTGGGGACCAACATTTATACGACTAAACCAAGAGTTGTTAGATGGCTATGCCAAATGCCAGGATGGCAAAGAAATTGTTCTATTTCAAAATCAATATTTAGATACACTTGGCAAGTATTGTTCATATTTTTCATATATTGATATAAACAATTTAAACTGTACAAATTAACATTCGTTGGCTGTTATGAAATAATTAATATAATACAAGACTAGTAGGGTTATACGATTGTTTTTTATCTGATCAATTCCGATTTTACGTAATATATTGAAAAAAAATGTGATTAATCAGAAGACAATAAAGAAATTATAAAATAATCAGTTTTTTTAAATAATCCTTATATTAACAATAGTTGATCATGCTACAATTAATCTATTTTTCTTAACTCTGTAAATTTAATTAAATTATCGATTAACTCGCATGGTTTTCAATGGATTGTAAAAATGGCATTTTAAAACTACATATTTTAATTTCAGATAACGGACGCCAATATTCCGACAGCAGTTCATCCAGCGAGTCTAGCGATGACTGAACTACTGACTACTACTACATAAACTTTTTATATTATATCGTTTATAATATCATTTAAAATTGTTTAGGTTTAGTACAACTTACACAGACAAAGACTGATTTGTGAACTCAATATTTTATAAAAAAAAGTTTGTATGAGGGGTTCTGTTCAACAAAAGAAAATTAAGTATAAAAAAAGTTTTACTTTGTAACTTTTAACAAAACGTATAATTTTTACTTTGCCAACTAGTATTCTAAAAACAAAAAAATAATGCATTTTTTAGTTTCAAATATAAAATACCAATTTAAGACAGTACTATTTACCATTAATGTCACAATTATTTACCTATTTTAGGATATATATAAAATAATAAAAATTTTTTGAGTTGATTGGACGGACTGCTTATAGAAACTGTATATATTTGATAAATATTGGTACTCTTTTCATAAAAATGAATGCCCATAGTAGATCTTATTATTAATAAATATAGACAATTTTTAATGCATCCAATGTATAAGCGGAAAAATTACCTTATTTCAGATTACAATGGTTTTAATAATTATAAAATATGTATATATATATCATTAATGGTAATGTGTTAAAAAACACAATTTACTTAATAAAATATGAACTAATCTAAATATTACAAAAATTCAAAGATAATCATGTTGAAGCTAGTCGACAATTTCACACACAATCAGTATTTTTAATTATATAAATGGTGTAGGTAACCAATACTAATTACAAATGATTCATGTGCTAGTATTTGAATGCAAAAATAAAACAGATAAAATAATTATTACAAATTATTAATGTCAATACAAAATGAAAAGGTAGATTACTAATTAATGTAAAAAAAAATGAATTAAAACACAAAATGTAAGGGAACAGTCGTACTCTTAATTATTTCACAATATATATATGTATATACTACTTTACGCTTCATCTTGTTCTTCGTCCTCCTCCTCACCTTCTTCTTCTCCGTCTTCTTCCTCCTCTTCATCCTCATCCTCCTCTTCATCTTCTTCTTCGCCAGCAGCCAGTTCAGCTTCTTCATCTTCCAATTCTTTTTTAGCTGCTGCTTCTACTTCAGGATCTCTAAAAATTTTAATTTATTAGTTAGATACAGTAATATCATGTTGAAAAACTGACTTACTTTTCTATTTTATCTTTGTAAAATTCTATTATGTGTTCTTTACGAGTTTGCTGTATAAATGATACCGGAGCAGAATAGTATTGCTCTTTAACATTGGATCCCCATCCGGAATACTGAAATTTTTTAAGTACATTTTCCAATTGTTATTGTATAGTACAATATAAATTATAAAAACAAAATAATAAATACTTACAACAGATGTGTTTTTGTACAACGTTTTACCATCTTGTTCAAAAGGTATATATTTTTGTAATAATGCTTTGCCATCAATTTTCCAAACTGGGGGGTTACCTTCACCGATCATGTCAGTTTTCAGAACAACAAAAGCTCCAGACTGAAATTCAGTATGAATAATTAAAAAACTGTTCAGGAAAAATTGATTTCTAAACATAAGGCGAGGGTGCATATTATAGAGTATATGCAAGATACATATTATAGTAAAGTTAGATAGAATTAAAAAAAAAAAAATCTGTTAATGACTATTACACAACATAAAATAAAATAATATTAGTCCTAATTCATTTTGGCTGTAGGCACAAAAATATGTTTGGTATAACAATATATTAAATATTATTTAAATGTAGTAATAATGATTTACCGTAAACTCTTTGGCGGGTTTTGCATTTGGCCCTTGATTAAGTTCTTCTTCTTCTTCCTCTTCGTCATCTTCATCTAATTCTTCTTCATCCTCGATTTCTTCTTCTTCTTCTGGCTCTTCTTCTTCCTTTTTAGATTTCCTGGCTGCTCTACCTCGCTTTGAAGGCGTTTGTGTTTTAGGTTTTGGGCCTCTTTTCTTTTTTGGAAGCACTTCTTCTTCTTCCTCTTCCTCATCTTCATCAGTACTCCTAGTTTTAGCCTTCTTTCTAGCAGCTACAGCTCTAGTTGGTCGTCCTCGCTTACCTGGTGATTTTGCCTATAAATATTTGATAGCAATTAAAGAACTGAAATGTTATATCAGATTATAATGGTCAACTTACTGCAGCACTGGGGGCCCATTCATCATCGGAATGATCATCAACTTCTTCAGGTTCGTCAACGTCAAATTCATTTTCTGAGTCACCAGCAACAATGTCCTTACTTTTCATTTTAACTATAAATAAAAATAAACAAATTTATTTAATTTCTGGATATCATCAGACTTTATTATTTTAATATTTTGTATGGAGTCCATTAAGGGAGGATTTTGTCAACATGCCATAAAGTGACCACCCTAGTCCAGTTGTTCATAAAAAACAATAATTTATTTTTAAATCTTCAAATTTTTTTTAAGATGGAGATATAATATAAACACTATTTGGGGGGAACAAGCATATTTTTTGAATACTTGTGCTTACCAAAATTCGCATGTTAAAAAGTAGTGATTGTAGATAATAATAAAAGAATACTGTTGTTGATCAAAAATGAACACTTTCCTTTTAAAATTAACAGTGCACATAATATTGTTCGTTTCGGAACAACACTTTAAATAGACTGAGAAAAATTGTATTATTTGTCTTTAGCTAATACAATTAAAATAAAGTGTATAAATGTAAAACCTAACCAAAGTTGAGTGGACGAAGGGGTTAATTACTTTTAATCGAAGAATGCTAGAGGTGAGGGGGGAGAGGTTCGGAAAACCTATGGAAAATCCACGTATTGTGAATTGGAGCGCAATTTATAATTTATCCGGCAGATCATCAAATTAGATACCGACCGACGATGACACTATGACAATAATAATAATGAAATGTGCGGGTTCCTTTTTTTGATCTAAAAACCGAATAATCGTCTTCCGACAGCGGCGTGTACGCCGGCCAATACGACGTGCCCGGCCGGCGGTGACGGTGACTTGAGATTTAAAAATATTTGTTGAATCGCGGGCACTTACCGTTCGAAGAATCTTGTAAGTATATGCCGAGTTTAACGGGTAAATTTGGACTATGTGGTCAAAAGACACTTCGGTCGACAGCAACAACAATATAATAATTAGTGAAAATCGCAAAAACGACGCCGAACAGCAATAAAACGCACTCGGAGTAACCTGACGGTATATAATATAATATAGTAAAGTGACTGTAACGTAACTCACACAACAACCGCACGCTAGGTATGTAACGTTGAACCGCACACGGCTCAACACAAACAAACCGCGAGCAGTGCGCGCCAATTGCACTCTAGTTGGTTACCCTGTACGCCGGAACCGCGGTCGTGGTATACACACACCGTCCGACGGTATACCAAGGAGTATATTATTATAATGTTATGGAACATGTCATTGGGCTCGTCCGCACACCGCGACGATACGGAGGTAATCCGCCTCCGCAGCAGCACTACGGTAATATTGGCAATGCGGCTCGAGCCTCAGACCGTCAGTTCGGTGGTCGGTCGTATGATAACATTGTTGTTTTTATTGAGAATTTTAATAATAATAAAAATTTGTGATTCTGTAAATTCTTGTGTATCGATTTTGCGGTACGGGATACATTGCATTTAATTATTATCGTGCGAATATCTTGTTGATTTGGGTTTTAATTATAAAACGATACTCCGTCGACTTCGTTCCGCGATTTGTTTTGAACTTTTCGTCCGTGAAAACATTGTTTTACGTTGTGCTTTTTATGTTTTTAGTTTTGGTAAGTCCATAGCGAAATGGACAATTTCGTATTCAAATACCTATGGTTCTTAACTTATATTTATAAATGGCCAATTCAGGACGTGACGAATAACTTTATATAAGCGCCAGCTACTAAACTAAAACCGATGGAACGGTGTCTGAGCGGTTCTGTTGAACACACACAACTGCAAAGAAGGTTTTTTTAAACTAGTCAACAATGTGGTTTTTTTATTCCGTTGTTTTGTGGGGAACCCATTCAATCTATACATATAATAATAAATAACAGATACAATCCTACTACATAGCTGTTACTTGAATAATAGCTGACTGATACTGCCGCTTGATGATAAACGATCTCTTATCTGAATAGTTAAATGTATATTTTTTCCTTATGATCCTTTTATTTTAATACAATGAAATAATCGGTTGTTCAATTTAACTAGTGGTTATACACCTGTAAAGGTTAAAGATATTACTAAAAATACATAAATAAATAGTGCAATAATAAAAGTATAAAGATAATACCTTCTTTTATTTTTTTTATTATTTAGAAAAAACCAACTATTTATTTACTATTTGAGTTGTATGAACAGTTAACTTAAAGCATTGCTTAAAAAAGTAAATTTTACAGATGACTGATGTATTAAATGTTTGATTAAATCTTATGAATGCTGTATAAGGCTATGATTAAGCAAGATTTATCAAGTCTTATTTCTAATATACTAGTTCACCGACACAATGTTATTGTTTTCATAGTTATGCAATGGACGAAGATTCGATTAGTGTTCACGGTTCTACTGCTGATTCAATAGAAGCATTCGACGATCTAGAAGTTCTCGATGAAATCACCGAGGAAACTGATAACATAGAAGAGGAAGAACAACAACAAATCGAAGAATATGATACTAGAAGTGAAGCCAGTTCCAGTTCAATTGACACTTCTTCTAATCGCCCAAAAGTGAATGTTGACAGACATATAACAATAGATGGTGGATTACCATCGGATAAAAAAAAACCATCTAAAGAGTACATAAATCAATTAAGATTCTTGTTCAAAGATGCTCGGTTTTTTGTCATAAAAAGTAATAATTCGGAGAATATTGAGTTGGCCAAAGTCAAGAACTGCTGGTCTACTAGACCTTGGAACGAAACGAAACTAAATCAAGCATTTAGAACATGTAAAAATGTAATTTTAATATTTTCAGTTAAAGAGAGCGGCAAGTTTACGGGTAAGTAATTATTTGTATTACTCGTCTTATTATTTTTCATAATAACATTTGTGATAATTTATTTTAGGATTTGCTAGAATATCTGAACCAGCTAGATATGATTTGTCGCCTGTCGGTTGGGTACTACTCGGTGGCCGTAACTTCTCTGGTGTGTTCAAAATAGATTGGATATCGAAAAAGGATTTAGATTTTAGCGACACTTCTCATCTGTTCAATGGATATAATGAAGGAAAAACAGTGAAAATTGCCCGTGACGGACAATCAATAGATCCCAAAACTGGCTCAAGATTATGTTCAATGTTTCCAGAAGATGAAACAATTGATTTACAATATATTTTAAACAAATCTATAAATCACCAACCTTCAATCAGTACAGCAGAGTTACGACAACGACGCCGAGTCCTTGGGTTACCTGATGATGGTCCAACTACTAAGGCTTATATAAACACTTATAGATTGGGAATACCATTCAAACAGACTAGGATGATGTCCCATCCTTATTATGTGCGTCCATCTGTATACCCATCTTACCAGTATAATATGGGTAGATCAGCGATGGTTCCACGTTATTACAATGATGTGCCGCTTACACCTTTACGGGTTCCTGTTCAAGTACCTGATACTTATACGAGACCCATTGAAGGTTACTACAAGAGAGAAAGACTAGGTAATCTAAGAAATCATCATAAAGACCACAGACGCGATAAAGATAGACCCAGACAGCGTTACAATTAAATTCAACTTCTGTTCAATCATAATCCTCATAAAAGTTACTGATGTTTAATATTAGTATCAAATTGACTAGTCTTTAATAGTAATTTTATTTCATATGAAATAAATTTAATCATTTAATGGTTGATAAACGACTGGATTTATGTTCATTCTGTTTTTAAAATTGGAGTATAAATTAGGTAATAATTATTCAATTTTTGTGATTTAAATAATGTTGCCTTTGATGCATCCTTCATTTTTGTTTGTTCTTAAAATGAAGTATAATTTATAAAATTATTTGAACTTCAACTTTATACGATTTTTTTGTAAATAAACTTCAAAAATTACATTTGTAAGCAAAATTCAATATAAATATTGGATTGGTTATAAGAAAAAATTTTCATTGTTGCCATTGTATAAATAAAATTAGTAACTCTACAAAGCATACTTTAAACTTGAAAAAATGTTTTGATGCTTCTTAAGTATGAAAAATTATGTATAAATAAATAATTTGATAATTTTTTTTATATAAACCATTTTGCAGGAACTTGATTAAATAATGGAAATTGTTTGAAAAATAACATTAGTCATTTGTTAATTTTTCATACTCTTCTTTTTTTTTATGGTACCATAATTTAAATTTAGAGCTATATTTAAAATTAAGTATATTGTTTTGAACAGTGTATTTCGAAACAATAATGAATTCAAATTTAGTTAATTTTTAAACGTTTATAGAATCTTTGTCCTATTAAATCGTCTTACTTTTATGATAATGATTTAAAAATATAATACTATACTAAACAGGGCTGTGGCAACGGTTTTGGATGCCTTGGGAAAAATACTTCTGGGGTCCCAAATACAGCATTATTATGGCCCTTTTCTGACATGTTGCTCATGCTTGATGCAGTCTTAAATCCTGATATTAGTTGGTTACATGGTAATCTAGCACCCCCAACATTATTCTTCCAATGGTATGATTATTTTTGGTTGATAATAATTTTTAATATTTATATTCCAATAATGCGGTTTCCAATTACTAGAAGTTAATGGTGAATACTGAAAAATAATTTATGAAATAATTGTATTTCAAGTATAGTTTAGATAATACAAAAAAATGACAAATGAAATTCATTTTTGTAACTTGTCCCCAAGTTCTAACAAAACTAACCACAGAAGTGACTACAGTCCAGTGCAAACCTATGATTAAATTTTTGTTTGTGGGTAATTTTGAAAATATTTTTGCCTGGTATACTATTTTATTAATTAACATGCATTGCGTTCCATTTGTAATATCAAACGACAATGAAGTTGTATGAAACAAATAAAAGACTGTGGGTACTATGTATTATTCAATATTATTTTATTAGAGTCTACTGTTATTTGCTAACGTGATTTTTAATAATAACAAATCTAGCTTTACCATAGAAATTTTATATTATCAAGTCTATGAGCATTATGACCTAATGAAACGATATGTAAATATTATTTGGGAAAATCATTTCTGATGAGAATATCGATTGAAATTTAAAATATTTTATTATATTATAATATTAATTACATTACAAATTATATTATGAGTTATCACAACACTGGGCGCCGGTATCACTATTTGAATTTTGATAAGATAATTTATAAACAAAAGTGGAATTAATAAAAAACACTATTGAAAATTTAAACCTTTTAAATTAATGTTATAGAATACCTCTTGTTCTTCTTAGCCAATATCCACAATTTATTTAATATTTTAAATTAAATTTATATTATTATTATATTCCTTATGAGTATAATACAACATCGTTCAGCTTTATGTTTAGCTGGTAAGTGTTTGTCTTCTCTTTATTTTAAAATTTAGTTGAAATATGTGTAAGTATTTTTAATTGTTGACAGAAAATGTTTCACTGTAGGATTATAAATTAGTGTGTTATAAATATATAATATGTAAATATTTATTAACTATTACTATTATTAACTACTATGTACATTAGGATTCAATACCACTCTTTGTGGTAAGCAAGAATTAAATTCTTCTATGCTTGAAATATTGTTATGTACTGATTGAGTATAATAATATATTCTGATTAGTAATGTTATTTTTGCAGGTCAACCTTAATGTAAAAAATCTACAACCAATATGAATATCACCAATCGTATAGTAGTAACTCCATTGGGAGCTGGTCAAGATGTTGGCCGTAGTTGTATTTTGATAACAATTGGTGGTCGCAATATTATGCTTGACTGTGGAATGCATATGGGCTACCAAGATGAGCGAAAATTTCCTGATTTCTCGTACATTACTACAGATGGTAATATTACTGATATTATTGATTGTGTGATTATTTCACATTTTCATTTGGATCACTGTGGTGCGCTGTCATACCTTACCGAACATCTTGGTTATCATGGGCCAATTTATATGACACACCCTACTAAAGCTATTGCACCAATTTTGTTGGAAGACATGCGTAAACATTTAGTGGAATATGAAGAAGAAGCAAAGTATTTTACATCGAGTGCAATTAGAGACTGTATGAAAAAAGTAACTGCGGTGAATTTACACGAAGTCGTAACTGTGAAAGATGATATTGAATTGAAAGCATATTACGCAGGACATGTTTTAGGAGCTGCCATGTTTTATATAAAAGTAGGTACCGATTCCGTAGTATATACTGGAGATTTTTCTATGACACCAGATCGTCATTTAGGAGCTGCATGGATCGACAAATGCAGGCCATCTTTGCTCATAACCGAATCGACTTATGCTACAACTATAAGAGATTCCAAGAGGTGCAGAGAAAGAGATTTTTTAAAAAACGTTCACGAGTGTATAGATAGAGGTGGCAAAGTTTTAATACCAATATTTGCGCTGGGAAGAGCCCAAGAACTTTGTATCCTCATTGACACATATTGGGATCGTATGGGACTGAAGGTTCCTGTTTATTTCGCTGCCGGACTTACTGAAAAAGCTAATAGTTATTACAAGATGTTTATAACTTGGACAAATCAAAAAGTCCGACAGACATTCGTACAACGAAATATGTTCGATTTTAAACACATCAAACCATTTGATAAAACCTATATGCATAATCCGGGTCCGATGGTTGTGTTTGCGACACCTGGTATGTTACACGCAGGGTTGTCTTTAAATATATTTAAAAAATGGGCTCCTGATGAGAAAAATATGTTAATTGTACCTGGTTATTGTGTATCAGGGACAGTTGGCAATAAAGTGTTAAGTGGAGCGAAGAAAATTGAAGCCGAACCAAATAAATTTATAGACGTGAAAATGTCCGTAGAATATTTATCGTTTTCAGCTCATGCCGATGGAAAAGGTATTATACAGTTGATAAAAAATTGTGAACCACAGAACGTCCTATTAGTGCACGGAGAAGAAGAAAAAATGAAATTTTTAAAAGCAAAAATTATGCAAGAATTTAATATAAATTGTTACATGCCTGCCAATGGAGAAACTGTTGAAATCGAAACTGCAAATGTACATACATTTAACATGAGTACAAAACTCATTAAAGAATTACTAGATGATCCAACTAATAATTTGGGAAATGGAAAACGTTTAGTTCATGGGGCATTTCTTTTAAGAAAAGGAGTCCCAAACTTAGATGCTATGAGTGTAAAGGACACGTTTAAAGAATTAGACATCCAACGTCACACGCTAAGGTTTGTTTGTGTTTATGATAGTTTATTACTACATTTTTTAAATATGTATTACATAAATATTTACTCTTAGGCAGTAGTGGACTGGGCAGATGAGTGAGAGAGTGATCAGAGTTAATTCTGCCCTGCTAGCAAAGAAGGCAGTGTATGCCATATTGATAGTTTTGAGTAAAAATTATAGTGACTAGAATATAAACAATACTATAATTTTACAAAGAATCTATGGCAGATCAATCATTTTGCTAAGGACATAAAAGTTGCGTCTTTAAATTCTGAATATTTTTTGTATAAAAATCTCATTTTATGATGTTTGATATTTAGACTTACTGCCTTCTTTGCTAGCAGGGCAGATTTTTATATTAATAGGAGGTCAAATTGTATAATCATCTGAAATATTTCCTCTGTCTCTTATAGTATTGTATTAAAGGTAACATAATAATAATACATGTGTATTTTTAGATTTACGTGTACACTGGAAATTAATGAATCGTCTACAGTCCAAAAGACCAAGTCAAAACTCTATTCTTTGTTGGAGACCAAATTACCGTTGTTCAAAAATAAACTTGCCATGTCTGATGGGTCAATATCTTTGGCGTCAATTTTGATCAACGTCGAAGATGGTAATGATAGCAGCACTAAAAAAATTGTTATTTCATGGGCTAATGAGGATGAACCGTTAGGAGATAGTGTTGTCGATATGGTGCAAAATTTGAATACACTGTGTACATCTTAGGAATAAAAAAAAGAGATTTTATAGTGTCAAAAATCCTATAGAAAAAATAATTATGTTAATATTTTGTATATTTGTATAAATTTAAATATCAAAATGCTTTAGATTTTTGTTTAAATGAGTTTGTCTTTATTTTAATTGTAAATTATAAATACAACTGTTGTAATACGGTGCCATCGTGGACTTCCAAGGTTCACACTCAGTTCAAATCACAATGATCGAAGTTATCTCTGAACATATCAGAACAAAATTAACTGGAATCAGATGAAGGTAAAAATGACTTTACTCTCCAATCTCTATATTATATTATGATTACAATTAAAATTTTTAAAGTCTCAAGTTTATTATCGTAATAATTGTTCAAATGTTTTACACTTTAATTATTTTATTGACATAAATCAAAAATCTTCTTTACTTATAATATTAATATCTTCGTGTGTTATCTCATTTTCTTTGAATATATCGGTAATATTGTGTTCCATCATTTTATCAATTATTGGTGGAATTCTTTGTTGAATTTTTTCTTGAACGTTGACCTTATCTAAAATGTCTTGTATTCTCTTTTTTATTGGTAGTTCCATAGCATCTACAATTTGATTCCTCAAAATGTTTGGTATGATATTAATTAGCGCTTCTGCTAAGTAATCCAGAGATCCCGCTCCATCCATACGTAACTGGATGTTTCCTACTGACAGTCCCATCTCATTTAAGTATGGTGCTAATCTCGTGTCCATCGGCTGAGTTACGTTGGCCTCTACTCGTATGTAATCAATTGAAAAACTCATAAAACCGGTGGTTTTCAAAATGCCCGCTGCCCCGATTTTCCAATGACAATGTCCTTCCAATTCTTGTGTTCCAATGTGATACACTGATATAATAGTTCTATTTTGTATACTGACGTTAATATCTCCTAGTCTATATATACTGGACAATCCTGTTATCCATATGTTATTCACATCTAAACTGAAGATGTTGAAATTAAACGCATTGACAACATCTTCTATTCGCCATGGATCAAATCCCAGAGATTTTATTTGTTGACGGCTCTCGGCAATCAAAAGATCTACTGGCGGAATTGTATTTGGGAACCTCTTGAAATGTTTCATTTTCTCGTTGAGTTCGTCCTTAATCATTATGTTGACCAGTTTCATAATAATCGGCTTGATTGTCTCGACAACAAAATTAGTGAAGGTGTTCACAAATGTTTCGTATAAAGGAATATTTTTATTTACCTTATCTGAATCTATGTGCAGACTTTTGTAGTTCATATTCATATTTATTTTATTGGTTTCAAGATGTCCCGAGTCGCCTACTTTTAAACTTACATGCCCGTCAATATGCAAGTCGACCAGCGTCACATTGTAGTATCCCCGGTACGTGTGAATTACTTGCCATGTTGAATAATTGCCCACCACTTCTAATGTATCGATTGATATTCCAAACTCTAACTGTTAAAATAGTATTTTTTATTAATTTGAAGGTTTAACATAAATGAAGTTAGTGTTTAATGCTTACTTGTAAGTCGACTATATTCAGGTATAGTTGTTTGAGTCTAAATTTCGAATGGCCTCTCATTGTAGAGTTGTATATATTCCATCCCATGTTATCCGTGTCGGGTATAGGTTCGGGATCTGAGTATGGCGGTGTAATTGCTTTAGGTAACCCAACCGGATCGGGATTTTGATAATGCTCAAGAACATTTTTAGTCAGCAACGTCAAATTAATTAAACGTTCATCAGCCTCCGATAACGTTGGTCCATCATCGTCGAATGCATAATGCACTTAATTAAACAAGAACAAAGTTAATCATAGGATACATAAATTAAAAACAATTTAGATTTAATCAATTAAATATTAAATAAACACTCACATTGACAGTCGACGTTGAAAATCAGTAAAAAAACTATACTGTACAATATTAACACACTCATTTTAACATAGTTTACCTTAACTATAACAATGTTAATATTTGATTCTAGATTAACCTACTATTACCACTACTATTTGTTAGTATTAATTATTATTTGTTACCTCTTTTACCTTTGACCTGTTGAATATTTTTATAATCAGTAATTTGATAAAAATTATGCCTTAAGAAACATGACATGCATTGTTGATATAGCAATTTTACATTGTTAGGTATAAAAAATGACTAAGAAATAAATACCTAATTATACAATCAAGTAAACAAAATGCTGAGCTACGTTTTAGACACCATGTGTATATATATATATAAATTGTTGGATTTCAAAATCCTAACAGTGAGTTTTTATTTCAGGGTTAACAGCATTTTCAATTGTTAATTTTATAAGATATTTACTAGGCAATCGATTTCATCCATTAATTTTATCTTTTTAACATGCTCACTATTCACGACTTCCGAGTAAAAAGGGTAGGAAGTATATTTTATAACTAATATTTTTATCAATGTTATTATTTCCAATTGTATAAGCATACACAATAAATTATTTGCACTCCTTGTAATCAAACCTGAGCATTATTTTATTTTTATTTGATCAAATTTAAATAACAAATAAGTAATAAGTACATTTTTACAACTTTATATATCTATTTTATCTCTAAAGATTTTTTCATGTGGGAAATAAATGATTTAAATAAAAGTAAAGCATTTTTAAAATTTTAAGTAACAGGTTATTTGAAACAGTCAAATAAATGTATTTAAAGAAAATAATACTTGAAATTATACGTACAAAATTATTTTAGATAATTTATTTGAAAACAGTTAAATGCAAATGTGTTTCAAATATAAATTTATTTCAAATAATTGGTCGTTATTTAGATAAGAAAAGCCCAGGTTTAGATGTAATATATAATATGGTGGGCTATTTATACCAGGCTTCACCAGGGTTAATAAATTCTGGTTAACAGAGGTGATACATTTTTATTATTTGTTTTGTATAGATATAAAAATGTGTACGCTTTGGATACATTGGACGTGACCCTTTTACTTTAATTTGTTCTGTGCTAAACCAACGCCAACAAAAAAATAATACCGCACTCCATCGTAACGTCCACACCAGCCGACTACGGATTGTTTTTCTGACTTCAAACTTTTTTTTTAACAAAGTATCTACATATTATACACCTAAACCTTGCTCGTGAAATACTTTATCCATTAGTAAAAACTGAAATTAGATGTGTTAAGTAGTTACTGAGAAAATTATTCATAACAGTAAACAAATTAATTTTATACTAAGAGATACATGTTTAATTATTTAACAGTTTTGATTTGAAGAAAAGATATAAATATATACATATATACATACTAGTTTTAAATATTGTTTATTAGGTAAAAAAAGGTATAAAAAAATAAAAATAAGTACAGTGAAATTAAACTTAATATGTTAGGTCAAATTCATATTTGGACATCACAGAATGTATGATTTACAAGTTCAATAAATATCTCGATAAATAATTGAATGATTAATATTATCACAGGGATTAATGTTTTGCTAAGTATAAGCATTCGAGTGAAAATAATTAATATTGTTTTTTTGTTAATAAAATTTATGTTTTGCAGTAAAACTTTTTGTTCAATAAAAATAGTAATAAATTAACGTTGACCTTGGCCGTACCAAATATATCCATTATTGTTGCTCCTTCAAATTGGCGACGCAGTAAGTCCTAAATATAATAATACGGAAATGAAGGTACATTAATATGTCAACTGTAAATAACTTACCTGTATGTCAATGTTAACAGTTTCCATTTCTACACCCATAAATTTTCCTTTGACTAAAAATATACCGTGATCATCAGTCGGACTTATTTCAAATTGAGCATTTTTGAATTGTCCGTCAGGAAGTCCTTCCACTTCAATTAATACACCCTTGTCTCGTAATTTTGCGGCAGAATAACGTATACTTTTTTTAGTTTTCAGTTGTTTACCTTTTGATGGCCGAGACGAACCTTTTGATTTCCTTAATTATATCAAAATATTATTTTTCTATTGTAAAAGAATACGCCAATGAAAATTACAATAGTAAATATCATTACTTTTGTCCAGTGTTTTGTTTGTCTAAACACGTCTGTATATATTGTTCATAAGATTTTATTTTCTCGTCTAAATATTTAATCTTATCGTCCAATCTTTGTTTTGTAGATTTTACCATTTGTAATTCCTAAAAATAATAATTAAAATTAAATACAGGCATAAATATTTTTCTTCCCCCCCTCCCAATTCAATTTTAGTTTACTTTAATTTGTATTTGACGATATTTGTTTCGATTGCAAATATCTTTTGCTACTGATGTAATGATTCCTTGATAACCATCGTCTTTTGACACAATGCCTTCGTCTTCTAATATTTTTAAGTTTTTTCTCAATTTCACTTTAATATCTCTCAACGTTCCACTACAAAATAAAATATACGTATTTATCAATTAATTTTATATCAAACCTATAACTTCTGAAAAAATATTTGAATTACTACCAAACTTGGGTGGAATATTTTTTTAGACAGTACTACTAGATATAGAACTGACCTGACCGATATGTTACAATTTTTCAGCATATAGTAGTTTTTACCATTTACATTGTCACATCACACTCATCAGTGTTTATTAAATAGTGATTCTATCACTTACAGTTATATTAATTCTTACAGACCTGTGACCCATTTCCACTATATCTTACTGTGTTGGTTATTTTTTACTTTGTTATAATAAAAACTTTAAATTTATTATCAGGTAAAAGTTGTAAACACAAAGAAGGTACCAATCATTATTTTGTTGGTCAGTAAAACAATAAAATATTAAATTTATCCGACTTACGTTTCATAGTCAGTACATTTACCAGAATCCATTATCTTTGCCTCTCTATCTGCAAATCGGAGTTCTTCGTCGGGAGTAGAATCAATTCTTAGAGCTCCGGGCAACGTATGGCCGCTGAGATATGGCAGTACTCTAATTAACAACTCCTTTGTTCTAAAATAATAATAAATACATGAATTTCTTAACAAACATAATTAAAGGTTTTTTTAATATTTACTTGATAAACAGTTTAGTAATAGACGCTGTTTTTGTATTGGGCTCAAACTTGTCAGACAACGTAAGACAAACTTGAACAGTAGCAATACGCCTTTGAACCATAACGTCTTCATCGTCAGCTTAACATACATACATATATGATGATTTCATAACAGTTAAAAATAGAATATAGTTTCAATAATATATACTTACATCCATAAAGTTGTGAAATCGTTGGTGCCGAAGGACCTAATTCGTCTAACAATTGGTGAATGGGGTCAAAAGGATCAGGTGCAACTTGATCGATATTATCCAACAGGAGAGAATGTGTTTCTTGTATTTCCTGTTAGCATATAAGAGCGTGTGTTTAATGCTGAATAATACAATGTTTTGTATTTTATAATAATAACCTGTAGAGTTATATTTATTGTTGGTTTGGTTAATAGAGTAACATCTGTAAACTCGTTTATGTTGTAATATACTTCGGGATCGTCTACATTGCAGCAATTGTTGAAAAACAATTTTAACTTATTATAACAGTCCAAAATGAACGGATTCATACACTTCAAGTGGATTTCTTCTTTGTACTAAAAAATATATTAATTTAACAACAATATTACAATTTAATAAACAATTTTAATTTTAAAAGAATGTTTACTCCTTTTTTATTTGACGCGTATTGTAGAATTTTCGCAACACTGGCCAAATTATGACGTTGACGATAAGTTATTCCTTCTTCAATTTTAGGTTCGAATATACCATATATTTCAGGAGTGATGATTGCCGGATTCATGTACAAATTATAAACAAAATAACCAATAATCTAAACAAATACATTTTTTTTTATAAAAATAATTTTAGCCACTTATGATATAAGTTTACAATGATAAATTTATGGTATGGTCAGTTTACCTTGTAAATCTCATTGTCTCTAGTATCCGGAAACAGTTCTTGTATTGTTTCACGCAATACACGTGCCGTATACAATATAGTATAAGGTATTAAGGGTTTAGAATCTAAGATTTTGTTTAAGAACTCTCCAGTTACGTTTTGAAGCTGTTCTAAATTATGTGCCAATCGTTTCTGGACCTCTTCGTATGTCAAAGCCGTTTGTTGATCGACTGAACTTGGTAAATCTCTTTAAATACAAAATTGTTATTATTATTATTTTTCATATGATTTAACTTTCTTACGAAATTTCTCCAGTGTTAGTTTCCTGCTCGTTTCGCCATGATCTATAAATAGTCACCGGATTGGTATCGATAAACAATGTGTTTCTGTAGTGGATCAACTAAATTTTAGACATGCCATTAGAATAATACATAAATATTTTCATACGGTTATAGACAAAATAATATACCTTTTCTACGACTGACTTGAAAATAGTCTTTAAACGTTTTTGATTATCAAAACATCTGGCTTGGTCTACAATGGCTTTTAGAACGTTAAGGTTTGAAGTTTTGATTTCTGCTACTTTTGTACAATTTATTTTTATCTCTTCTTTTAAAGCCAAAGTTAATAACTTTAACATAAAATAAGCGTCACGACTATTGCTACCGGCATTGAAAACAGACATTAAAGTTTGTTCCAAAAACCTAAAAGTATATTTCAATTGAAAATTGGAGAAATTCTAACGATATTAATTTTTTAAAGAGTATCATTTGGTTAAAAATTTTATAATAAATAACATTACTTGGAAATGTGACGAACTGAATATGGTAAACAAAATACAAGTTTGCTTAAATAATGCGGTTTTGTTTGAAGCATGTAGAACAAATGTTGGTAACATTCTAAAAGATGTTTGCTATTTTTATTAAGCGACATTAAACTGATTGAATTTTGAGTGTTATTCGGTTGTTGTATTTTGTTAATGTCCTCATTGTTTTTTGTTTTATGACCAATCACATCCTAATTGTGTGAATAAATTAATTAAACAAAAATAACGAATAAATATTTATTTTTGTTTATACCTGTAAGGAAATTCTATTTTGAATGAGGAGACCAATTTTGATGTCTAGTTCGTCAGCTTTGTGAGACATTTCATTACTTTGACGAATTAGTTGAGTAATTTGACTGCGATGGTTCTAAAAAATAATAACAATTATTTTAATAACTGAATTAATAGACATTTTTCATTAATATTTTTAATAATAAATGGTCGACCTACCTGAAGTTCTATTTCTCTTCGATAGTCTTCTAAATTAAAATTCAACAAACGAGAGAAATGTTTCACTATCTTGTAAGGTGGATTTGTCGAGTGAAACAAATGATAAAAGTGCTTACGCACCATTTTACCACGCCACAAAGCTTGTAATTTTATTATTGTTCTGACCTGAAAATCAGTTTGAATTTAGTTCAACTTATAGACAGTTTGAAAATATAATTATTACTTACTTCTTTATTAGTGTACACTCGCTGTGATGGTTTTAATTTTTTCCTCATTTCTTTAACAAAACACTGCCATTGTCTTTGAAATATTATGCACCTCCACCATTTCTGAAAAAAATAAGAATGGCGTAATAAATGTATTTAACCAATTTATAGTTTAGGCAGCCCATTGAAGCCTCTTTTGAAGAGATGGTTTCCTAGCAGATTTGACTCATTTTCACTACATGATAGTATTAATTAATAATCAATGACCATAGTAAACAATAGTGACTGAATATTGAACCGGTCAATTAGGTTAAGTATTAAAAATACCTAACCTTTTAATATAAATATATTTGCATATTATAAATTACTAAAAAAATATAATTTGGTGACTTACTTGTATTTTAATAGCAAATAATTCTTGTTGGCTACAACATTGTTTTTGGTTCTTTATTTCACGACGAACTAAATAACCACGAATATGTGCTTGTAGCTGGATAATAATTTTTTCGAGCTCTTCGTTTTCTTTACGGTGTTGGTAGCTTTTTTTCATGTTCATTATTATAGTCTATAATAAGTTCGACAGGTTTTTTTTATACATTGATTAAAAAATGTACAAGCACTTTTAATGATTTACCTGAATTTCCTCCATGTTGATATATTTTGGAGTAGAAAAAAAAGTAGGTTTCTCCCAAGAATAATCTAACGTGTCTAGATTCAAATAAACGCAGCGACCATATGGAGATTCGTGTGTAATCCATGGGCCTCTATTCTTTAACTGGAAACAAATAAAAATAAGAAAACGATTACAAAAGAGATAGTGCAGTCGCCAATGTTCACAGGTCTTCAGGAATTATAGCTAAAAGTGAATTTACCAGTTTCCAAAACTACTTGGAGAACTGTTAAATATAAAAACAAATACATTTTTTTAAGGATAAATGTGTATCAATCGTGTAATTTGATTTTTCTCAACAAAAAAAAAAATATATATACATTTTTGGAACTGTTTTAATCAGTAATCAGATGTTATTAAGAGGACGCTACCCACCCGTAATTTATCCGCAAAAAATGGCTTTGCGGGGGACAAGAATGTGAAGGCGGTATTTACAGTAGCCGTATACAATTTTTACAATGAATAGAGAAGAACTTTATTTACGGGGTAGCAATTTTAGTTTTTTGATAACTTAATCACAATTAAAATTATTTCTTCGTGAAGATTCTATTTTTTTTTCAATTTTTATTTGCTTATAAAAAAATATTAAGTATAGATATCAAACAAATAAAATCGCTACCCCGTAGATAAAGTTCTTCTCTATACATTGTGAAAATTTGGTAAATCTACTGTTAATACTGCCCTCGCATTCTTGTCCCACCAAAGCAGTTTTGATGGGGAAAAAATTGTAATTTATCCTATAGAAGTGACTGTGATAGTCTGACGAAAAAAATGGCAATCAATAAAGTATCCTCATTACTGTATTAATAAGTATATAATATAGTTCAAACTCGAAAAATTGCCTATACTTTACTCCTTAAAAATGGCCTGGGTAGCGTCCTCTTAATAAATTTTATTATTTAATATAATTGTTTTATGATATTATTGAAGATTTTTTTTCTTCTTTTATAACAACATACCTTTGATTCTGCTACATGTAATAAGGTGACAAAACTTTCTTGTTGTTCTGACTCGTTCATTGGGACAAGTTTAAGTAGTTCTTTTATAACTTTCCGTCTTTCATTTTTTATTAATGACACATTTACAGATAAAAGCCATTCAGCGCCTGCACAAATATTTATAAGTTAACATATAAATACTTCAATCCACTACTGCACTTACTTCTTTGAATACTGTCCACTTCATCAATAACTCTTTTAAAAACGTCTTCAACGTCGTCTTTCCATATTTCTACACCATCTTCAGAGTCATTCTGTCGGTTCTGCTCAATTAAATTACGGTTTTAAAATAAACGTTTAAAAAAAAAATCAAAAGCCTCAAAAGCGATTTTATTGTTATACTTTCTGTTCATACCAATAACAATTCATATGCATACTGCAAATCTTTGGCTTTAACGGGATATTCCAGTTGCAATACTGGATTGGTAATGCACTGCTTGACAATGTTCAATTTTCGAGATTTTAGTGCATCATTTAATTTTTGTAAAACATTTATAACTGAAAATATTTATTGTTAGCATGAATAATAATTTAACAATGTAACATTTTAAAGTGTTGATTTACAAACCTTCTTTGTTTTGTTCCAACTGATTGTGAACAATATCCACACAATCTTTAATATTCATAAACGTCAGTATTCCGAAACTTGCTTTACTTCTAATTTTAAATTGTCTACAAGCATCGAGAGCACTCCAATATTGTAACTTTAATCCAGCATCGAGTTCTTGGTCCTATATAAAATGTAACATTAACCTGTCTCAAAAATTAAATTCTTCCAGGAAAATTTTAATTACCGAAAAAAACTTCTTCAGCTTTGAAAGACGATCCCAGGTCGTATCAATATTTTCCGATAGAACTGCTTTAGTGACCTCAGCTATGGGATTCAAAACTTGTAAGCTTTGAACAACGTCAAAATATGTCAAGTCTTGCTGTAGGGAAAAAAATTTATATTTAAATATAATAATCTAGTTTTACATTTATTATCGTCACACACTTACGTTGACATCATTTCTATCGTCTTTCAGTTCTTCGAAATACAAAGGAATAGCAAATTCGTTAACCAGATGGTTTAAATTTAACATAGGTTCTTTAAGAATACACGAAAAACCATCCATGTCATCAGTTAACAATGTGTCATTTAATTTTTTAATCAAACTTTCTCCTGAAGGAAAAATAAAATTTCATTAAAACTCTCTGCATAAACTTTCAATGTAAACTATTTAAGTTGCATGCTAACTTTTTTTGTCTGTTAATGCTAGTTGATTGCCACCGTTAATGACTCGTTGTAAAAATGCTTTTTTGTCAACAGAATTAAAATTTTTTGATTGAATTGCCATTGATAAATTTTTAAATTCAGATGCGTAATATCTTGATTTTTTTTCATTCACGTCCTAATAAAGTTTAATTTTTATAAGTAACTACAGAACTATTTAATTAATAGAATTATAATACATACCATCAATGAAATACATTTTGATTTTAAGATATTAACAATTCCCTCATCGGTTTCCGCTTTACACAGTTCATTCCACTTTTGATCGACTGCAAAGAAAAAGAAAATTACCGTAAAACATTTATCAAAAATCCTAAAATAAATCGTTTTTAAAAATCAATTATTCATACTATTAACAGTAGAAATATATCCTTGTATTTCATTTTGCGTTAAAATTTCATCAAAAACGTCCGGTTCAAAACTTTCGCTTAAAGACTAAACCAAATTGTAGAATCATATTATTATTGATAATAAAAATATTGTAAAAGACATAAATATTTTTAAATTTAATATTAACAAATTATTTTTATACTGCCAAATCATATTATATCAAATAAAATTATTTCACATAGTTATATATTTCCATAAGAATACCTTATTCATAGTAGATTCTTCTTTAGCCTGTTTAGCATCACGTAAGATTTCTAGATATTTTTCTATATAATCCAAATTAATAAATTGTAATTGTGCAACTCTGTTAGTAAGACATTTTGTAAAATGATTCATGTCCTAAAATTTTAAAATGTACACACTTAGTTTGAAGTAGAGTAGCCATTTTTCTTTTTGGTAATAATGAAATAAAAAATTATGGAACCTTTGAAATGATTGCATTATTTATTTCGACGATAGCATCATATAATGTATTCGAGTCTCCTTTTGTTCCTTCTGATAAAAGTCCTGCGATTTTTTGGAACTTAGGTAGTTCAACACCACTTTCAGCCAATTCTTTTCTCGTTGCAGTGATTGTCTCGGCTTAACAAAAAACAATATTATTAAAACTATATTGTTGTATATTATTTTTATTTATTATGAATATTACCAGAGAAATTAACTTTTCCGTATAGATCTAGAATTAAAGGAGCTTCACCACGTTTAAACAAATGAGTACTTAAAGCATGAAGACAATAAATTACTTTTGGCATGTTTTTCTTATCATAAACATCAGTGGTTTCCGGATGAAAAATCTAAACAACACAATTCCAGGAATTAATTTAATGGATGATTTAATTCAAAAAATATTGATGCTCTAAATTTACAACGAAAAGAGTAAATTAAAGTATGTTTTAATAGTTTTGATTTTTTTTATCAAAATTTTTTGTTATAACTCAATATTATTCATATTATGTTATCTGAACTTAAATAACATAAAATCATACCTTGGGTAGATTTACAGCATTCAACGATTTCAACCAATAATTTATATTGTCTGTATGGCGATATTGAAGACCAGCAGACTTGTAACGTCTCTCATCGCGATCATAGATACAAGATAGTGATACAATAGATGGAGCTATAAAATTTCCCAATTTCGCTAGTAACACTCCATTTCGTAATCTATCTTCTAATTCCATAACATTTGGAAGAGTCATTTTCAAACAAGATTCTAACCATCTAAAATATTGTAATCAGTTTATTTTACACAGTACTGTTTAAAAACGTTAATAAAACTTACACTTTGGTTTCTTCTAAATGACATAAATACTCGTAAGCTAGATTATCTTGCCTTAGGATGTCAGCTTCAATTAGTCCACCATCTAATATCTCTTGTGCACTACCATTAGAAAATAATCAAACCACCAATTTAGGTAAAATATATTAATTTATGTGTTTAAAATACTAGAATCAGTTAATGAACATTACAAGTATGTCAAGTATAAAAACTTATTATTTATAATAATCAATTCATGTTAATTTAAATCGCGTAAATTGTATTTTTCTAAACAGAAATAACAGTTATAATAAATGTTTCGCTACTTCAAATCACTTAAATATTTTCTGGAATTGTTAAACTATATTATGACAAACTGTACTAAATTGTCAACGTTAGTGAAATTAATAAAATTTAACCCAAACGTAATATCATATAGATAAAATAAGTTTACTAATGCCACTAGTTGTCACAATCTTATACACAACACATCACACTTACTACTTATTAAATATGATCCATGTTTAATAGTAACTAGCTTGTAGTTATGTTAGTTTACGTACAATGAATAGTAAGTATAATATTACCTATTAGCGAGCGCCATGATTTTGGAATATTACACTTTTCTAAATAATATGACAGAAAATTTTTAAAAAACAAAAATTGTTATCGTGTTAAAAGTAAAACGCAAAATAATACACAATAAAAACATATAATATACATGTATATATGTGACTGGAATGTCAATAAGGAGGATTATTATGTTATAACTAAAAGTATATATATATTATGAACTGTAAATTATAATATTAAGTACTAAGTGCGGAAATTAATTTAACGGTCGGCAAATCAACACACGTTATCAGCAACAACACAGGGTATTGTTATCTTACCGCCAAAATGTCTTAACCTCAAAATATATTTTAATATTAGTTGAAAGAAATTTTTGTATTTTGAAATGTTTTAAAAATTATTGAACGACAGTGATAATTTAATCAATTTTCAAGAAATTTTTAGGGAATGGACGTTTTTTTGCGAGATTTTTACTTTTTCCAAGGAGTCAGTTGTCGGGACAGCAAAATTGTTGGTCACACCTGTGCGTTTCACCCGTAGTGAAATGGTCAGTGGACTGTGGAGGGGAGAAAATCCGTTAAACATTTAATTTTCCCTGTGGCAACAGAACTAATGTCATATTCATACAAAGCAACTCACAAGTCTCACCATACGATATTTCATTCCGTTACATTATTTTTATTTCATTATTACAATTACATTCCTTTTTGTTACTTTATCGTAATTCTCCAAACGTCAAATACTTGTTTTCTATTTTTATAGACATTACACATTGGTTTTCCAAAACTATTTTTGTTTTCACACTGTATATTTACATTACGCTGTCGTCCGTTCAGAAGACTCGAAAACTCATCCAAGACAAGTTTAAACAAAACGGACGACTACAAATTTTTTTTCTCGAGCACAAAAATTATTGTTATCAACTGCTGAAAAAATGGCAACTGGAATTAGACGTGACATTCATTTGGTAAGATACAATTTTTGTTTAAACACTAACGATATTTGTAAAAATGTTAACACGGTTGTTAGCTGTTTTCATATTCTCTAGTGTCTCGCTTAATCTTATGATATACTATTATAGTATGATGCGTTTTTATTTCATGCAATGTCTTGGCAAAATCTTACTTATTCCTGGTTAGTATGTGAAGAAATTTAGAAAATTACCATAATTCGTTTTCGTTATAACCTCTTTATAGATATCTGAACATCGAGAATTGCAGCTACATATTTACCTACTGGTTCTGGTAACTTGACGAGCCACTATATACTTCCAAGGCCTCAGGGAAATAAGAAACTTCAAGGGCTAACCTAAAAGCGCCATTGATACCGTTATACCATTTAATTTAAACTAAAGTAAATTTACCTACTTAAGGTACTCATTGAGACTGTATTTTTTTGTTAGAAAATTGACTGTAATGTAGTATATAACATTATAACTTATACTCTAGAACAATCATGAAATAAAGTATAAGTGTATAGCAGTAAGTAATATTTTTTTTAGATGATTTTACCATATTTTTTTACAAAAGAATTACATTTAAAAAAAAAAAAACATTTTATATCTATCATCCCTCTTACTGCTTAACTCTTTGATGAGCAATGACATTTAGATACGTTTTTACTGCCAATTTGTTTTTGTTTTCTCTATTTCATAGGATGTTTTTTGATTAACCGTCGTTATAAAATTCAGGGCAAATTATGTGCTTTACTATGATCTGATATGAGCTATAATTTGAACTATGTTAAAGATGAGACATTTAAAATATAAGTACAAAATTTTAATTAACATTGCATTTAAAAAAAAAAAAATCCATTCCTTATCCCGCTCTGAGTAGCATCTGTGTATTCTTAATTCGCTTGTGAAAGGGTTAAATAAGCAGAACTTATGGAGGCAGATAACACCTGTTATGCAATGTTGTGGTAATCAAACACAATACCTTTAATACCAAGTTGCACTCCTTTTTCACTGCTTCAAACCCGTTACATGTTTGTACTTACATTACATACCTAGAAAATAAGCCAAGTATGCAGTCAATTATACTGGTTTTTTTTTTCATGATGGCAATATTGTCTAGGTGTATTCTATTAGTTTTTATTTCATCTAAATAATGTGAGTACTTAAATAAAATTATAAAACGTTTAAATACAACTTATATTATTCAAGATTTTTTTGTATGATTAAATCTGGATTCAAACCGTAACCTAATACATTGATTATTAATACAATATATTAATCAATGCCAAAAATATATAGGATCAAAATGAAATTATATTGTTCTCCATGTAAATTTAGTAACATTTTTAATCCCTATTTTTTAAATATTTATTTGATTATTATATTTACTTAATTTTTTTTTTTTAATAGCCAAAAACTAATTAATTAACGAAAATATATGTTACAGAGACAAGATAAAGTACTCTCTGAAAACATTTCTCGGGGAGCCAAAGATTTGAAAAGCGGTATAACAGCCCCAAGAAGACCCGTGTTAAATGATATTAGCAGTAATTTGCAACCAACCCAAAATGCTAATCAAAAGGGTAAAATCGCCGTTCCTAAACCATCTACTAGACTTACGGCCAAGTATGTATCTTTAATTATTGATTCCTCTGGTTATTGAAATTTAAATAATACAAAATTGCTCTTCATGCATAGTTTAAACCGTACAACAACAACCTTGACAGCACCAAAACTTAACTCAACCAAAACTGTAGTTAAAGTCAGTTCTACTCTCAAAGAAAATGTATCAAGCATTCCTAAAGCTATTATTAAGCCTAGGCTCACTAGCATGGTTAGACCCTACAAAGGAACGTTGACCAGGAGTTCATCACTTCGTAGCAAATCGGTAAGCATCAATCTACCTACTATTGAGATTTTTTACATTTATTTAATATCGCTTTTTTTTTTTAAGATTAATTCCTTAACTGAAGTTCAAAAGAAAGAACAAGAATGGCTTGCTGCTTGTAAAGTGGATGCTGTCGATAAGAATGATGAACATGACCCTTTCCTTGTTGGAATTTACTCGAAATCTATATTTGAATACTTATTGACTTTAGAAGTAAATCATTTGTTTTACATCTAATATTTAAAATTTTAAAAAAATATTTTATATTATTTCACTATTACAGGACAAGTACATGATTTCGCCAGATTATTTAGCCAATCACAAATATATAACTCCTTCCAATCGTAGTGTGGTAGTGGACTGGCTCGTTGAAGTGCAACAAGAATTCCAACTTATGCAGGAATCGCTTTATACTGCTGTCGGGATTCTAGATCGCTATTTACAAGTAATAATCTATTAAATATTAGTTACATTCTGAAACATAGAAATTCATTGTGTGATTACATTTTCTAAACTGCCTTTGTCTAAAGTATGATTTTGGTGTTATGAACGTAGGATAATGTAAATGTTCCACGAAACAAGCTACAATTAATTGGAGCCACAAGTCTTCTTCTTGGATGCAAATATGAAGAAATTTACGTACCTGAAATCAATGACTTTGTCTACTTATCGGACAATGCATTCACTAAAGAAGAAGTCAAATCTAGTCTGGTAGACGTTTTTCGTGTTTTAAACTACTCGCTTTCCAGACCGTTTTCTTTAACCTTTTTAAGAAGGTTTAGCAAAGTCTCTGGTGTAAGTATAACTCTTGAGTTGTGCTGTGTTACTGAAAATGTAGGAATTATAATATTCTTGTGTTTCATGTGTTTAGGCTCGATCATCACAACACTCTTTAGCTAAATACTTTTTGGAATTATCGTTAGTTGACTACAATCTGGTACATGTCAAACCGTCTGAAATGGCAGCAGCTGGTTTGTTGTTAGCAATTGTGATTACTAATGATCCTCAATTGGAAGATGAACCTGAAGATGTCCATTCACTGTTATCATTATACTGGACAGAAGTATTAAGAAAACACTCAACCTATAAAATTAATGATATTATTCCTACCGTTCAAGCACTTGCTAAATTAGCTCTGAATGCTCCTGAATGGAAATACAAAGTATGTACAATTATTAATACTGCCCATTTACCGCTTAGGCGTTATGTATTAAGTATTATTGTGATTGAGGTATTAACAGCAGATATTTTTATATTAATTTACAGGCTGTCTACAAAAAATATCAAAGTGCGAAAATGGGAAGAATAACAGGAAGTTCCTTGCTATGTTCACCGGCTATGAGGTTTATTGCGCAGATGAGTTAATTATGTTTTTTTTTTTTTTTTAACTTAATTGGCCTCTTAATAATTTTTTTATTATTTTTTTTTTTTATATATATTGTTTCTATCGAGTGTGGTTACACCACGTTTTTTTGTTTTTTTTTTTTTTTCACAAGATTTTTGCATTATGATAACAACAATAACTCTTTTTTTATATAATTAAAAATTTTACGCATTAATTATGCTTGTACATATTAATGGTTTTTTATTATTATTAAACAAAATATTCCTATAATAATTATGATACAAAAAAAAAAAATTTAGGTTTGTTATGTATTGTGAGTGTTTTGATATATAACCATTGTAAATGTATTTATAAGTAACAATTATTTAACTAAATTAAATGAAAGAATAATCATTTTACTATTTTAATTGAATCCAAATTTATCGCTTTGAAGCGATTCAACATATACTTCACATTGTTATGTTTCAGTTCTGTAAATATTTACTTCTGTGGCGTATACATTAATTTTATTTAAATTTAAGAATGTTTTAAATTATACTTAACAACAATTGACTGAAATATGTTCGATTTATACAAAAAATATGAATTTTATATTGTCTATATACCGTAATCAGTATGACTTTAAAATTGTTACTGTTTTAACTTGCATAAGTAATTCTTGTACTGGTATTTCATGCTGATTTTTATATGTGTATGCGTTCAATTGATTGTATTTTATTTAACAAGGTAACTAATAAAATGATTTGTAATTTTGATAACTGTTTTTCATTATTTTTTTTCTTTGCCTAATAATCTCCTTTTTTATTTTATAAATAATTACACTAAATAATATTTATTTTGTTTCCGTGGCTATAAGTAAGTTAATGCTGCATTAATTTTATGTGCTAATCCTGGTCTATCTTCTACCTAATTGTACTGAAAAGTTCCAGTTATCTTCTCAACTTCCTGGAATAAATAGGGGCTGTGATCTTAAAAATGTACAACTCTTATATTGTTTATTGGTTTTCCTAGATATACCTACTTTCACTTGCTATATGTTCTCAAAGCAATTTTTCACTACATAGTGACATTACCCACTCAGTTTACTTAACTGTAAAGCATGATGTACTATTTTTAACTACAAAATCTATTTTTTTTTATTAACTACCCCTAGTGTCTTCTCGTTTCTCTAATTTTTCCTGATCCTTTAAGCTCGGTCCACACCTATTATAAAAATATAAGCTGTGGCCAGACTAAAGATAAAATTTTTAAGTACATTTTACTAAAAACAAAAAAAAATTTGCTTTGAATTCACTAGGGAGTCGAATATGTTGACTATTTTGGGTTATTTGGAAATTTTAATAATGCCTAAGCTTGGTTTTTCACAATTTGAGATTTTATTTTATTTTAAAAATGAGTTATATAGTTACCGAATTTAGCAAAACTACTCTTTGTACAAGGTCAAGGAGTCGCATCATTTTTTTTTAGAATTGTATGACGTATCCTATTAGCCCCAGCACTAAAAAAATCAACACCATTAGAGAATTGATTGGCTCTTAAACATTTTATTATAAGCGAAGAGGAGGAATGACATTTTAAAAATTGATTTGGTTTTAAGAAGGCCAAAAAGTACGGTGTCTGAGTGTAACCTGTTTAGAATATACTATATTACTCCACTAACACATATAAGTTATTAATTCAATAAATTAAACATTTGTCTTCTTATAATTATAAAACGAAATCATATTCAAAACATATGTCTTCTAATATATGAGAAATCATATAATAATTAAAATACAGAAAAAAAATGATCATGTGATTGTTATTATTTATTTGTTTAGTAATATTAGACCATTCAAGTTGTGTCAGAGATCCCAAAATAATGTAAAATGAATTGTTATAATTCGCAAGAATTTGCTAGTCCACTTTTTTCTAAATATGTTCAGAATCATATTAAAATACAATTTACTTCAAATTTAATTTACAATTTGGAAATTTACAAAATGGGCAAAATATTTTCTACTTTTTTGTTCCTTAGTTAGATATACCTACCTTTTAATTTATTACACGGGGACCGATAGTTTGTATGAATAATTGGTCAATAATTATTTTTATCCATTTATATAATATAATATAATAATAATAATATAATATAATAAAAATCAACGTTTTGTTTTAGTTTTGAAAAGTTGTTAATTTTAAGATGCTATTGGAAGTTTATCAAACTTTTTTTTAATTACCTACTTAATTGAGACCAGAAACTATACGATGAATAATGGATGTTGAATGAATAGAAAAGACACATAAGGTATTAGCTGATCATCTGAATGGGGTATGTAGCGTACATTAAAATTATTATCGCTATTACTTTTTTATAAAATTATTATTAACATCTAATATAATTATTATATTTCGTGTCGGTATCTAACACACACTATTATGCTTCGATTTACGATTTTCTACTAATAATAAGATAATGTACATCAGAAAGGACCCGATTATGTATTTTACTTAACTATTTGTTCATTGGAAAAAGCTACATGAAGTATATTATTATGGTAATAATTTGAAAAAGCCCATATATTCTATAAATGTTTTTAAGGTCATAACTATTTTAATACATTTGTTACGATTATTAAAGTAAAAATTTTTTACGATAAAAGTATTGAAACATTTTATTTGGATACTTCTCAAAGCCGTCATTTTGCATCCTTTGTCCGGAGAACGCCTCAATATTTGTCTGAACCAATAATAACCAATAGATATAATATTTCTATTCTTTGTTTGTCGTATGTTTTACGTATGTTATGTCACCCTGTATAACATTTTTTTCCGTTGGCTCGTAGGAAAATCAAATGTTAATAAATTAGATAAATCATATTAGGTACTGTATTTTATTATTATTCGCTTACAAACATTTGTTATGTATATCCAGGCAACGTGTAAACAAATTGTTTATAATACATTGTGAATAATTTTCCATCATATATTAAACATATATTTAATTTTTGTTTTTTTTAATTTTATTGTGCTACAAATATTATGAGTTGAACACATTGTATTTTGTTTTATTTATTCGTACGATATTATTATCCTTTGTAGACTTTACGAGAATAAGTATCAGTATCATCTACTGATCCAAGAACCAGTTACCAATGATGATACAAGAGGATCCCGAAAATGTATAGTTGTTGCAGGGTTGTGAAAATTGAAACAAAATGTGTCTTTTAAAGGTAGGTAAAAACTTTTTCAAAACTATAATATAGTGAGGCCAACAATGGCGAATAGCAATTTAGTGTTTTGCATTAGTTACTAATTATACAAAAAATGTAGGTTTTTCATAGAGACTAGTGTATAATTGAATATAATGTATGTATATATAAAGGAATATATATATTTATATTCCTATACATAGGTCCAGAACTTGGATATTTTAAATTCATATAAATTAAATTTGGAAAAAAAAATGGTTTTTCTAAATTTATTTCCATTACTCATTTGTAACTAGTTAAATTTACTAGTTGTATACTAGTTAAATAAATGAATAATATACATTAACAGTTTATTCGTGTAATAATATATAACATTTTTTGTATAGTCGTTTGATTTTTTAAGTATTAATATCGATGTTTATATTTGTTGCACTCATTATGGATTTTCTTGATGAAAAAATGTTTTACATAAAACCCGTTTCATTATTATCTATGATATAATACATGACCTTAACGACCAATCAACTTCTGTTAACTCAAACATATTATAAATAAATAATTTGATTGTTTAAAAAAAAATTGTTGACGGTTGCTTAGTAAATTATTGATTGTTTTTTAGTAGTACAATCGGTGAAAATCAACGTTTTGAAAAGTTGTTAATTTTTAACATGAAAAGACGCGATTGATTCTCCAATTGGAAGTTTATCAAACTTTTTTTTTAATTACCGACTTAATTGAAACCAGAAACTAGATGATGAATGATGGGTGTTGGATGGATAGAAGAGACACCTAAGTAACTAGCTAATCATCTGAACGGGGTAAGTAGCGTACATTAAAACTACCTATGTTTGTTATCGACTATCGTTATTACTTTTTTATAAAATTATTATAAGCATCTAGTATTATTATTAGTGTTATTTATTACGATAATCTATTTTATTAGTGGCGAAACGTCCTAGAAGACTATGCCCACTTGTATTTAATTTAAATATCAAATATTTGCTTACAAATTTTTAACACCATATTTTTTAATCGTTTTCCCGAAGACATATACTTACTCCTGTTTATATATTACTTTTTTTCTATACAAACATATTTTATTCCAGTATATAAGGGTATAACTCGTTGAGGTCCCGGCTTGAGATTGTCGACAGTTCGTAGAGGACCGTGTGATGAACGTGCGAGGTGTTATGTGAAGTAAGACTTTATGACCGAAAAATTTTGTGTCGCGCGGAAGCGGGTAACCGCTTGTGGAACGCGATATCGGAAAAGAGTAGTAGGAATTATCGCCTGAAAAGCTGACTCTTGCACAGAATCCGGATATCTCGAACGACTGACGCTCAAGTTCGGCTGGCTTTCGACGTTATAGACCGGACTATGCTGGAATCAAATATGGTATAATAAACACAACAGGTTAGGTCATAGCTATGACAAGAATAGCGAAGACGTCTATGACATTAACGTGCAAGAGGTTCAGTTAGGAAGTTTGGATATGGAAATTGGAATACCAAGCTGCTTGCGCAATAGCACCACAACAAATAGATAATAATAATTTTAGGATAAACATAATTTTAGTTTAGACCTGAGAGTACTTTAACGGATCGGCGGACGATGAAGACTGATAAATACAATAATAAGAGCAATGATCAATCTCAGTGGCTGTAACAATAATTAGGTACTATAATAACCAGAAGGTTGGAACTTGGAAAGGAAGCGAAGGGGAGGTATGGGAATCATCAAATGACAAATTGACAAGCCACAGTCTTCAGTAGAATCAAGATGTAAAGGTAGCTTATAAATATTATTATAATTTAGTAAAGGGACTCGAATTACACCAGTCCAAATTTTAATTTTACTATATATTTATTTATATAAGTTGTCCTGTATATATTATAGTATACTTATTGTGTTTTAACTTTTGTGTAAAAATATTAATTGCTTATTTATATGTACAATAAAATGTTTACTAGATGATTGACTTTTTTCACTTAAGTGCTTGACTCGGAAAATTCATAAAAATTTAGTCGTCTTAATGAACATTTATTTTTCATAATGTTATTAACTGTCCATAATAATTCGTGTATTTATATTGTTTAAAAGAAATCTAAAAATTAGGTTTGGGTACCTTCTCATATGTCTTTTTGTTGCGCATTATGCCTCCAAGTCAAGTACTCGTGGATTAGGTCTGTGTATGATGATGTAGTTAGGTCCTGCAATTTGAAATGAACATTTTTGTTTACTAGGTACTTATCCTCCATTGAAGTAATCACAAAACTAACCATTTATTTAATATTATTACTATGTATTCACACTACTCGTTTATTTACAATATTTTTCCCCCGTTAACAATCAGTTGCGCATTAAACGTTTAAACATATCCTTGTAAAATTTACAAATATTTCATTATTTTGAAAAGACAAGCTTTTCTATACAAATATATTTTATGCCAGTATATAAGGGTATAACTCGTTGAGGTCCCGGCTTGAGATTGTCGACAGTTCGTAGAGGACCGTGTGATGAACGTGCGAGGTGTTATGTGAAGTAAGACTTTATGACCGAAAAATTTTGTGTCGCGCGGAAGCGGGTAACCGCTTGTGGAACGCGATATCGGAAAAGAGTAGTAGGAATTATTGTCTGAAAAGCTGACTCTTGCACAGAATCCGGATATCTCGAACGACTGACGCTTAAGTCCGGCTGGCTTTCGACGTTATAGACCGGACTATGGTGGAATCAAATATAATTCGCACATTAGTTCACGTATAATTTTACTTTTTCACTAATTCTGTCACATAAACTACTTCCATATATTTGTTATGGGTAGTAGTGGACTTAGGTACTTATGTCTCGACTGTTCATAGAAGCGCATATGATGAATGTGCGAGATGTGCTATATAAGACCAGCGAGTACATATGGTACATATGCGGTCTGAATAGCTTACCCCACAGACATCGTATGCCCGTTGTATGAACGTCTGATGATATTATACCTAAGTTAATTTATCTACTAAAGACACCTCCACTATACATACCATTGAGTTTTCTCTACCACAATAATTAGAAACATCATCATACATGGAGATACCACGTTAAAAAAAACGAGCCAAATACTCTACCTCATGGGTGGTTTGGAAATGAGTATGTATAAATAAAAAATTATGTTATTCTAACGTCAAATAATAGATATCTATATATACCTACTCATTGACATTTTTTTTTATATTAACTTGATAATTAATATAATATCATAGATCTTAATTCAAGAAATTCTACCCAAAAATATTTTTACAAAATAAATTATTTTATAATTTTAATGACAGTAGTTAATGATTTACAATACAAATTTAAGCAATTAAAAACATTTCAATTTTTTCAAATCGTTTTAGTACATATTTTATACTTTAAAAATATATTATAAGACTTTAAAAAAACATAATTATAATAATTGATTTAACATTATTATAATATAAAACTGAATTAAATATTTAATTTTAATTTCGGCTTTCGCTATAAACAAAAACCGCAGGATAATAAACAGCTGTTTCATGTTACGGTGATGTTAGTAAAATTACAGAATAGATTAGAATAGAATTTAGATTTAATAAAACCTATAAGTTTTAACTAGATTTATTCGATAAATTAAAAAGGTAAAAATTATAGATTACACGTTTTACAACCAACCGTAATTTATGGTCTAAATATAATATACCCATTCCGTTTTAAATGACCAAGAGGCCGGTGGTGTTATGTTTTAACAGACACTCTTTGGAATCATTATTTAATAAACGCATACTCTTTGGTCAGAACAATTAGTTAATACATTCTTATCTATATTTTGTACTATATAAGAAATAATCAAGAATTTGTTTGAATTTTGTATTCTGATTTCTGCAGAATCATTTAGACTTCAGTAGTTACTACTTTTCAATACTAATAATATTATACTATAATTATTTTCATCTTTCGTACTTACCATTTTCCGTGTTATAATACCAAAATTACGGACCTGTTTTGGGCGCAACTTAATTCCGTTCAAAATGAGTGCTGAATTGGGAACAGAAGCTTTTCCAGTTTCGGCTTTGGTGCCTAAAAAGGAAACTGGAGTGACCAACTTCCTAACAAAATATCCAACTTATGACGGTCGTGATGTTACAATAGCCGTATTTGACTCTGGCGTTGATCCTGGAGCCCCAGGTCTTAGGGTAAGATTTTTTCATTTTAAGGAACTAATTTAAAATATATAATATGATTTACATAAATTATGTTTAAATAGGTAACAAGTGAGGGAAAACCAAAAGTTATTGCCAGATACGATTGCAGTGGTGCTGGTGACGTCGATACATCGACTGTTGTTAAACCCGAGGGCAAAGAAATAAAAGGGCTCAGTGGACGAACCCTTGTTGTAAATTAACAAATCAATACTTGTACTTTTAATAAACAATTTTTTTTTAAAGCGAAACTACTTTTATAGATTCCGAGCGATTGGAAAAATCCTAGTGGAGAATATCATATTGGTATCAAAAATGCCTATGAGCTGTATACAAAAGGCGTGCAAAAACGGATCGAGGAAGAAAAAAAGGAAAAAGATTGGGATCCGACTCACAAGCCGCTTGTATCAAAATCAATACTTGAACAAACTAAATTTAACAACGTAAGGAACATTCTACTTAATATGTTAAGTGTCATATATTATTATTTGCTATATTGTTTTCTCTCATTTGTTATAAAAACAATAAATACTAACTAATAATAATAATATAATATTAATAATAATTACTATATTATATACTCTTTCTTTTATGTTATCTGTATTTAAGGAAAATGATGGTTCTAAAGTTCCATTATCGAGAAGCCAAAAACTAACCAAAGATGATTTGGATAATACCGTAGAAGCTTTGCAAAATTTAGAGAAGAAATATAAATCTATTACCCCGGTTTACGATTGTGTTGTTTTTTATAATGGAAAGCAATGGGTGTAAGTTTTTGTATTTATTTATGTATCGACGTCAGTTATAAAATATTAAAGTTTTTCCCAAAAAGTATGTTGATCTTAGAAAAGTCTTAGAAAGGATCTTAGGAACCACAAACAATTTGGCCCAATATAATGTATAAAGTATTACATTTCACGGGAAAGAATGAAACTTACTACTTCTTGTAACGGGTCAATTGATCCTAAAATTTAAATATTATACACTATTGAATATCACCTGTATTATCATGCATTGTAAATATAATCAAGTACATAACTTTAAAATACATATTTTCTTTAGTGCTTGTTTAGATACATCAGAAAAAGGTGATTTAGCTCAATGTAAACTCATGGGAGAATTTAGTGAAGACCCTTTGAATAATTACGATTACATTACTGAGTCTGACTGTATGAGTTATTCGTTCAATATATATAATGATGGAAATTTACTTGAAATTGTATCTCTTGGTTGTAAGTACTAGTTGTATTCTATAAATTATCATACAAATTATAATTAGCTTAAATGTATGGGTTAAGATATAAAATGATGTGATATAAACTCTTTTAGCGTCTCATGGGACCCATGTTTCTGCAATTGCGGCTGGATGTTATCCCGATGAGCCAGAAAAGAATGGAATAGCGCCTGGAGCTCAAATTGTCTCGCTGACAATAGGCGATAGTCGTCTAGAAACTATGGAAACTGGTACGGCGATAGTTAGAGCTATGATTAAAGTAATGGAACTGCGGAAGAAATTCAACATTGAAGTGATTAATATGAGCTATGGAGAACATTCAAATTGGTCTAATGCAGGGTAAGCTGGCCTCAATTTTGTTTAATTTTAAATTGTTAATCTGCGAAAAAAGGGGTGGCAATTTTTTAGTACAACAATTACATATTTTAAATAAATTTGTAAGCTTTATAGGATTGTTTATTTTAAGTAAGTCACTCCCAACTCTTGGTTCTTTCATACACCTCTTATGAATTTGAAACTAGCTAGCTGCAAGTTTCAATCCGTATCCTTCTCCTAGATGTAAAATGTTATATTATTACATTCTATTACACCAAATTGAAAAACGGGTGTAATAATGTGCAAATGTAAAATGGGACTAAAATATTGATTTTCACGCACGTCCATAAAAAAAATTTTGTTTTGAATTTTTTAGGAGAATTGGTGACTTGATGAATGAGGTTGTTGATAAGCACGGTGTTACATGGGTCGCATCGGCTGGAAATCATGGTCCAGCGTTGTGCACTATCGGAGCTCCGCCAGACATTTCCAAAACAACAATTATAGGTATAAAATATTTCCCCCGATGAATGATTATTTGATTTTTTGATATACGATTATTTGTTTAAGGTGTTGGAGCTTATGTATCACCAGAAATGATGGCTGCAGATTATTCGCTGTTGAATAAACTACCTGGGTCTACCTATACGTGGTCGTCCAGGGGTCCCACTATCGATGGTGGCCGAGGTGTGAGCGTTTGTGCACCTGGAGGCGCAATTGCTTCTGTTCCAGGTTATTTGTTAAGAGGTACTCAACTAATGAGTGGAACTAGTATGGCTTGTCCTCATGTAACTGGCTCAGTGGGTAAGTGATGATCTTTTTTTTTAGTTTTGACAATGTGTCATTTATAATCAACTATTTTCAGCTCTTCTAATTTCTGGACTTAAGAGTAAAGAAATCGAAACATGTCCGTATTTTATAAAAAGAGCATTAGAAAATACTGCACAATATCAAGACAAAGTAGATTATTTCTCTCAAGGGCATGGACTATTAAAAGTAAATAAAATTCTGTATTCACATCCATAACATCTTTATTATTACAAGTATAATACACCGTTATGTAAACAAAAAAATAAATATATACACTTTAATTATCATTAAATAAATGGGTTTTTATGGAATCTTAAATATATTATTAGGTGATAACAATAACTTTTATATATTAATGATCATGTTACACTACATCTTACAAATATAATAAAATATTTTGATAATAATTACAAGTAGTTTACTATTTCTAATTTTGTAGTTGAAAAAAAATTGTTTTATATAATACTATATGCGGTATTCAATTTTAGGTTGAAAAGTCGTTCGAGTATTTATGTGGAAATTATGAAGAACAAGAATCATATGTTAAATTTATAGTATCTTGCGGAGCCGAGGGCAAAAAAGGAATTCACATGAGGAACGCAATAGAAAACATAACAACCGAGCATTCTGTAAATGTGGAACCCATATTTTTAAATGAAACCGAAGTTGGTAAGTAATATTTTAGATGTGATGCACATTAATTTAATATTGTTAACATAGATTTCATAATAATATTAAAAATAATGAACAAATATAGTTTTAACTATTAACTATAAAGTATAAAGAAAAGGTGGAGTCAATTTTATCGAGCCTAATATTTATAAATATAATTATTTACAAGTTTGATTCAAATTATCTCAGGTCCATTGATATCCTTTTGATGTATTTTTTTCATATTTGGCTCCTTCGAGTTTGTCCCACATGACAACGAGTTTGACTCCATGAATTTTTTCACCTAAATGAGTAAACAATTATATTAAATAATAGGAAAATTGCATAAAATAAAATATATATATTTTTATCCATGTTGAGTTTTAGGCAAATTTTGCACAACCATGTTACAAATAAATTATTTTTGGTCGAAATCCTAATTTTGAAAGGTTACGTTTGTTAGATGTTATAACTTTTTATTTTCATGTAAGAAAAAAGGCTTCCTTTTTTGTTTTATGATAAATGGTTTATCTTATCTAGTCATATTACATGTGCATAATTTTTAAAAAAAAATGTTACATTATTTTCTCTATCCAATGAAAAACTTATTAAACAAAAAAGTATAATGTAACTATGTGCTTACCGTCAAGGCTTTTCCGTACGAGATCAGCATACTCGTGTCTAGTGAACTCTATTCGAGCACAAGTGTTTTTTTTCCTGATAAATGATATATTTTCTCTGTCAACATATTTAACTAGATAATTAATTAAATCTGCTTCCGTCGTTCGAGCGTTCATGTTTTTAACATGTAATTTTTTCATCTGAAAAAATAATGTTTATTTTCATTTAAGTGCATTTGAATTTAATTTTTTTTTTTTTACTAATAAGAATAACTTACTCGTGATAAGACTGAATGACTAAATACCGGTTCACTGGACGCCCACTGAATTGTAATTGATGCTCCATCTAGAAATAGTGGATTTTCTGCCATCGATCGTCGAGCCAATGCAGCACTTCGATGGTCCTTAAATATAACAAAACAGAATTCCCTATTTTGGGTGGGGTCATGTTCATCATTAAACACTCGAACTTTCTTTACACCTTCAACTCTGTTTTCAAATTCCATTTGTAACTGTTCCTCTGTCAAGTCCTTTGGTATAGACCGAGCAAATAGCGTTCTGTTATCGGTAGACATGTTGACCGATAACTGACTTTTTATACCGGGCAAACGAAATTCGTTTAGCTTTACAAGAGCTTCCTCCGCTTGAACAGGATTGTTCATCATAACATATCCATAGCCACGATTAGAACCCGTAAAATGCATCATTAGGCGAATCTGGTGAATCTCTCCAAACTAAAATAATATAAAACATGTATTTTTTATTAGTAAACATCATAACGAAAAATTTGCTAATAAAATATACTTGAGAGAATATCGCATATAAAAATCCTTCCAAACAGGATTTTGGCAAAGCCACGTATAATTCACTACCCCGTTTTGGTTCTTCTTTCACAGTTGGCAATAATGTTTTTTGACCGTTGTTTTGGAACACATGCCTATTGTCCGAAGAAATCAAATATTGACCGAACTCTTCTATTTCAGCAATACTTTTAGCATTCGCAATTGTTAGTCTGATAATATCCTTGCGAGTTGGCTGAAATTATTATACAAAATAAGTTGCATAACAATTATATTTGTAATTATTTAAAAAATACTTTAAATTGAAATAAACACTACTAACAATATAAGATTCTCGTGGATCTGGAAATTTGAAAACATTGTTGTTGAGTGTCATGTCCTGAGATTGAGATATAATTGAGGTTGTGTACGGTGAAGAAAGTGATGAATAAGGTGACAGTGTACTTGACATGTACGATGATTGAGTATAAGGTGACAGCGGATATGGAGAATCTGGCAGCTATATACACATGATAATACAATTATTTATCACATCAATAAATAATAAATTGTTATATTAGAACAGAAATATTAATTAATTCCTATATTACACATTAGGTGAACAGACAGAAAAAACCTCTTTCCAATCACCCTTAAATTATTTTTAATGAACCACCTTTTTCCTGATAGTTTTTTTAAAAAAATGTTTAGCAAATCGTTTTTTTTTAGTTAAATCACTAATAAAATGATATTAAATAAACAAGTATTTAAAATTGTTAATGATGATTATTTAAAGAATACAAACCATGTAATAATCATTGTATGCACAATCTTGTTGAGTCATGTATCTTAAATCCATGTTTCTAATCTGTACTTAATTCGTAGACAGATGTGTTTATTATTTGTCTTACCCTCCTACTGAAAAAATACAAAATAGTTATTAGTAAATTTATTGATTTAAAATACTTGAATAAAAAGTAATAGTTTCTTTTAAAAGACCAAATGCAGCCCTTAATTATATTCGAGAAACCCAAGTGTATTGAAATACCTTGCAAAATATTTAAGCATTTGAATTCATAGCGCTTTTAAATACTTTAATTTGTTTTTCTTGTTTCATTAATTTTTGTTCGAAATAATAATAATAAATTTGCACTATTAAACAATTTTGAGTTCAAATAATTTAATAAATAATTTTCATTAATTTGTTTACAAATTTATTATACATAGAAGTGTGTAAAAACTTTTTATAATAAAAAAAAAACTAATTTTGTTAGTGAAAATTATTCAAAAATTATCAGACATAATCAACTTCTGAAATTTTACTTATATCAACAACATAAACTGGTTGTTTATTATTAGTTTTTTTTTGGAATAATAACAGATAACAATACATATCAGGAAATCATAAATAAGGTGAAGGAACCAATTAATATATCTGAAGATAATTTAATAAATCTGTTGAAATACAAAAGTAGGTACTACCTATTATCTAACAATAATTGAATAATCGGAAATTAACACTACCTAAATATAAACCTTCTCATCAACAAAATTATTTTATGATAAATATTTATATTCTATAATGTGTATACATTCCATCATATATTATGATAGGCCGTAAGAAAATAATAGCAACACAAGATAAGTCAAATGAGGTTTTTCAGTTAAAAAAAAAATCTTCCGAATTACCGAGGTTTAAAGTTCAAACTAGGTATCTTTTTTAATAACATTACGCATAAATAAAATTATTAGATAAAATCAAAATTGTGTATTTTTTTAAAACCCAACCAAAAATGAAAACTGGTGTTGTGCAAGGCAACCCTTTCGTTTAAATTAAAAAAAAAATTATACCTAAATCGTATCAAATTTTGTTGAAAATAAAAATAAATGATATCTAGAAAAATAAATTCGCACGAAATTACTCATAAATAATAAAAGTAGGATTAAAATTATTATTATTCATTAATGGACTTAAAAGCAGGTTTTGTTAAAAACTATATAAACGTCTTGATCTTTCGCATTATAAGACAGGATAGACTAGTTAGGGGTATTATAATTAAAATTAGATCTATCTTGTAAGAGAAATAGTTATACAAAAAATAAGTTATTAAGACGACCCGGATTAAATTTTACAATCGTATATAACTTTATAACGCTCACGATGTCTATATGCACATGTACATGTGTATAATATATATTGTTAAATAATAAAGTAAAAAATGATCATGTTAAATATGCAATCAGAAGAGAATACAACGAGGAATGACGTATTTAAAACGATAATAAATATCTTAAAAGGGACCGTGAACGCGCATTTTTTGATTTCAAGTGCGCGCACAATGTTTCCTAGTGTGGACCCGGCTTAAAGTAACAAAAATACTGTACCGATTTAATTGTGATATACTATGCAGAGAATCCGAAAAAAAAATGTTATAAAAAAAGTATGTTTAAAAAATCATTGTGGGTTTCATTGTAGTAAACGGACGAACACTTGTGACTTTTTATTATAATAATTAATCAACGGCGCTAAGAAAAAACAAATTTTTAACACATTATTGGTATTAATATATAGCTTTTAATATTTACAATATTAAAATGTATACAGTTGGCTATTATGAAAAAAAAAAAAAGAATAAATAATTATTATTATCTTCTTTATTACATTTTTACAAAATTTAATTTATTTTTTAAAGGGAAAAATTTGATTCGTAAAGTTATGTTGAATAACGATATTCAAAATTAAATCGGATAGTGAAGAAACAAAAACACAAATAATGCAATAACTTACTTATAATGAAATTATTAATGTCTACTGGTGGTGGAGGAGATTCGGCTATAGTGTTTTCGCGTTAATTCGATACAACGATCTTCTGCGACCAGCGTCGACTAAAGCCAAAACATTAATAACGTCTACCGAGTGCAGCTACACACAATATGACATAGGTCACACTTCTCAGACCACGGCGACAAGACGTATCATGTACCTCGACCCGACGGCCGGCGTGGCTCGTGCACGGCCGATAACATTTTTCTAGGAATATCACATTTTGATCAGGGGGGGTGAAGCGTCGCAGGGGCCAATAATTGTTTTATTTATTTCCAGTTTGGCAGTTTATACAGATTACAGACACCACAAAAGCCGCAGGTGCGTGAATCGCGCGCGGACCACCCTAACCCGTCCCGTCATGTCGTTTATTTTTAAAAAAATATTTAATATCGAATCTGTTACAGACATAAATCATAATATTGAATAATATTATATAATTTGTTACCACGGGGATCTGTCTAAGGACTAGAGTAATCGTGTAGTCCGAATACATACTTTCAATGCACGATTAAAATCGTCAAATTAATTTTAATTAGCTTTCAACTTGATTAACGATTAAAATTAAACAACTGAATAGCAACAGCATATGTATATTCGACAAATTTAAATTTAAGATTTGAATTTTTGTGCACTTAACAAAAAAAAAACACGATATCTACCCAATTGATTTTTTGTTTTTGTTTATCCCAGTTAACGTTTGATGTTCATTCGAAAATAGTGTTTTATTGTGTTTAAGTGTACTTCCGATATGGATAGGCGGAAAAAAAGCCCCTGGTTATACCTAGTCTAATTTATTATCATTACATGTATTTATTCACCGAAAATGAACGATTATGCATGAAAAATAGTGATTATATATTATGCGATTTTAACTAAAAATAAGTGAATCATTTTTTTTTAAACGATATAAAGATAAAACTTCTGTTTTCTGAATTTTTACGAAAAATGTATACTATGATAAGTAGGAACGAGACCATATAAATTCAAATTTTCACAAAAACCGTTATATCCAGACATGTTAAATTCTTACTAATTTTGATTTTAGATACAATTTAATTTATTATTTATTAATCTTGATTTTAGATCAAATTTACGAATATGTATACAAAATTAAAACATTTGCTTTAAATTTAAAAATAAATCAAAACCAAGTATTTAGATTTTTATATTTTACTAATAAATTTAAAAAACTTGAAAAGATATTAAGAAACAACAATATGAGAATATACATAATATATTTGTACTTAAATCTGTTGGTCCTCACAATAATTCAAAATAATCAAATTCAAATTATTTTATTAATAAAACAAAGGGAAAAAGTTAAGTAAAATAAACGCTAATATAATAATTTCCCTAATTAAGTTTATGATTCCACGCATTATTTAAATAAGAATTGCTTTTATTAGTTGATGCACATAAGTATATTTTTTTTATTCTGATTAGCAATTCATTTATTTTTGGACGTGCTTTGGTTATTACTTATTGAAAATATCATAATTTATGGAATGGTCAATTGTCGTTATTATTTATGTGTCCAAATTTTATAGTTCGTCGAACTAAGTTCGACATAGGGGTTTCCAGGACTTTGGCGAAACAACAAGTAGTGTTATTGAATAGTGGTTAGAAAAAATTACTAGTTCAGACGAATTTCCTAGAATTTCTTTTGGGGCACGATTGACCTTTGGACCATAAAAGTTATAATTAAATAAGTACCGCTGATTCTATTGGCGAAAACGTCCATAGACAAACGTAATAATGATTTTTGGATTTTCTATATTATTTATTTTTGTACAACTGATGTTGCACTTTGGTTTTTTAGCCTTAATCTCGTTAGATATGAATAGGCAGGCCGCGAGGCAGGTAGAAAACCCATCACGTACTAGAAATTTAATATTGCTCAATATTGAGTTAATAGTTCATATTCTACCGTAGCGTGACAAATTTTATTTAACGCGCAAAATATATTATGGCAATTATTACTTGTTGACTTTGTGATGTTATTAAATATTGTTTTAATATCTTATTGAGATGAAAGATACCAAATTAATAGTTACTCGTGTAAACATAAAAAAATACTATTGATTAAAAAAAAATATATTAAATAAAATAATATATAAATTGTATAGTATATAATTAGTAATATATATTTTTCCCCTTTTATTAATGCATCATGTCAAATAAGATTTGTTCATTTTGTAGAAAAAAATTACTGGAATGGTACTAAAACGAATTTATTCTCTAATTTTATATTTGGAATTATTAAAAAATCGTATTATTAATACTTAATTGGACATGGTTTTTAGACGCTCAGAAAAAAATCAACTTCCAAATAAGTTTATGTTTGGTGTGCGACGCTCCTTGGGTACAAGTCCCCACGCACTTGGAACTAATGTACATGTCACGAAACTTCAGCGTTAAAGTCACTCCCAGCGGATTGCCCGACGGAGTTCACACATCCACGTGAGACCAATAACATAAATAAATTACAAAAAAAAGCACAATATATTCAGTAGGCAAAAATAACTCAGTTACATAATCCAATAAAACAAACCCCTAAGGGTTTTTTTTATGTCAACAGAATATTGACACGATGTAACTTTGTGAGCTGGCTTGACTCTAATGTATTGTGGTTATTTTCAGAGTAAGGGCTTACGACACTAATAATACACGTAAAGGTCCGGTGTTTACTTTTGAAGTGACCGTGGTTCGTCCCACAGTGCCAGATCGTTCAGGAGAAATGCTTTTTGAAAATGTTCCATTCGAAGTGGGCACCATAAAGAGGCATTTTATCTTAGTGCCCAGAGACGTCACTTGGGCCTGTAAGTGTTCGGTTATATTCCAAAAGAAACACAATCGATCCGCTTACTATTTTTTTTTGTTTTATTCTAAGCTGTGCACGTGAAAAACTCAAATGTCGACACCAGCGCCAATTTCTGGATGCATGCCGTTCAACTGTTGCCTCAAAAATCGTGCAAGGCAAGGGAGTGCTATAAAATGTTCAACATGAAATCCAACGACTTCCAGGCCCAATTTATCGTTGAGGTATGATTCGAACATTGCTATTAGAAAATAATATTATTGAAAAAAACTGAAATAACTTAGCATTTATCTCCAAAATGTATTTTTAAAGAGTAACGAATAGCAACTAGAACAATATTAATAGAATAACTTTTATGAATTGTTGAAACAAAAACAATATTTGGTCGAACATTTTCTTCAAACAAATAAATAAGATAATTCGAAAATAAAATGTATTTGGATAATTCAAATATACACACATATTTTGTAGTGTTTGTTATGATAACAGTTACCTAATTTAAAACAGTGCAATTTAAAATTACAAACAACATTATTAGATTGAAATTTGTAATCGATAAATTAAAAATGTTTGAATGCCCATTTTTGTAGCTTTCTGTAATGATATTTTATAATTGAACTGAAGCAAACAAATCATTATTGTTAATATTAATATGGCGGAAGTCTAAACCGTTTAAAATCGATAATCACAGGACATTTTTTTTAAATTAGTGACTGAACACCACACTGGAAAACAAAACGACAAATCGTTCCTTTATTATTTCCCAACAAATATATATTTTTTAAAATTCCATTTAAATATGTTACATGGATAAGGAGGGCGCTTAAGATTTTAGCGAAATTGCTTTCTTGAACACTCGAAACGTATCGGAAGTAAAGATAATGCGTTTAAACTATTTGGAATATTTTTTATGTAGTGGAAAAATTTATTAACTGCATTTCCGTATAATTATCACTCCGTATCGATATGAGATTTTATGATATTGCGTTTCAATCGATTAATACGAACACATAATGCTACCTTTATTGTGTTCGTTATGGATAACGACATTTTATAATTTACGGGTCAATTCGTCGTCGCACAATAAGGTCCTTGATATCGTAAGAGTTATGATATTTCCACGTGATGGTAATATAATAAAAAAAAAAAAATAATAACAATACAACCATCATCGGTATACAAGCGAACGACCGGCAGAAAAAAAAAATTTAAAAATAGAAATATCTTTTTACTTTGTCCCTCACACACAATTTATTGAGACGACCACAAAACCGGATTCTATTTGTTTTTGTTATTCGAGTTCAGTTGGATGACAGGCCGGTAGGGTACAGAGTACAGTTTTTAAAATAAAAAACATAAGCACCCAATGGCCAACGTTATCGATGAAAACGACAACCGACAATTAGATTACAAAACTGAAAATATCTGCCCTTGAAAGTGTACACTGCAGATTTATGAAATATTGAATAAAAATATATCGTGGCAAAAATATAAACTCATAATAAATTAATATAGCATTACAATATTGTAACAGGAATAGCCAATAGGGTAAACCGAAAAGGCAAATGGTAATAAAATAATTAACGGTTTATAATTTTAATAGAATGCTTTTAACTATGAGAATTTTAAATGTACACAGAACATTGTAGGATTTCCTATACTAAAATAATTTAATTTACATTGTCACCATACTTTGCTTAATCCTAATTAAAATTTTAATTTATTTTTAGTTAATTAAAAATTATTAATTTAGCACAATTTATGGCATAAAAGTATAATAGACAACAGTGTAATACCGAGTTGCTAATTTCAAATGTATTTTGTTTTTTATGGTCGATCGTGGACGCTATTTGCGTTCGCTTTTTGTAGAAATTTCCCATCTAAGGAAACGTAATTAAGAAAAAACCTCCATCCATTCAAGGTGTTAAAGCTTATGATAAATTTTTGGTTTTTTTGGGAGGGGAAATTTCTGTTGTTTTTTACCCGAAAACTTGACGTTGGAGGCTTTGCCCCCTCCCCTAAACTTACATTGTGCAACCGAGCATCAAGAAATAACTATACATAGGTATCCTATTGGTTTAAATTTTTAATTTATAAACTTAGAACGTATATTAGATTAATTTATTATATAACCATGTCATTAATACCTACATACATATTCTGTCAAGACAATGAATATTGTATTTTTGTATCCCAAAAAATTAGTTAATAACCTATAATAAAGCTGTTAGCCTCCCCCCTCTTAAATAAGCTTATGCAGCTTAAGTCTAAATTCGATAAAATATTTGTTTTGATTTTTTCTATACATTTCTATACATTTTATACCTTTAGGAAGATATCGAATAAAATAATCTTATTTTTTCATTAAAAAAGAAATCTATGTAACAGGCATTTTTTGTTTTTTAGGAAGATGTTGTGCTGGAGTTTGTATTGGCAAAGTATTGGTCGAGTTCTTCAAATATGAATCTCACGTACAAATTGAATTTCCGAGGTGTTGTTCCTTTAGCCAGAAGTTTGACGTTGTACCACGGAATGGGACTTCAATCATTAATGTTGAGGCCAGGCTTAAGAAATGAAGAAATCCAACCGTCAATTTCATTGAAACACCTCTCTACTGTTCTTAAGTAAACAAATTTGTCTATTATATATCATGTAAATTATTCAATAGTTTTTTTCCAATAGAAAAATTAAAGATTTTCTTTTTAGTTAAACTGTTGTTCTGAATGAAAATTTATAGGAATTGGTTGTAATAATGAGTTATTTTAATAAATTGTAATTTAGTAATAAATTTAACTAATGTGAGCTCGTTTTAAACATTTTCTAGGCCGACCGAGGGAAAAATAACCGTTCTGTCTTTACGTGATATCATTCCACCTCAAAGACCAATCTATCAGCTGAATTTGTCTTATACATTCTCATTGATAAAAGCTACTGACGTTTATGTGACCTGTGGATTGTTCGGTGATCTCTTGTACGAATGCGAGTACGAATCTCAATTATGGATGATTTTCGATGCTAACAAACAGTATATCACTTCTGGTGATGCCTATTCTAGTCGAGTAAGTCACTTGAAAGTTTCTTTTTAATAGATCATGCCATAGGCGAATAGGCCTACCGGAATACTGGCAAAATTCTCGTAGCCCATTTCTCATAAGCCTTTTTTGGTATGCTTTTTTATATTTATTTATAATACTGTATAGTATTACACTGTTCGCTACTCAACACATGCAAAAAATATATGCAATGACCCAATCAATTGTAACACCTATCAATAAAAACTAATTTATATATTTCTCTTTAGTCGAAAGAGAAAAGAATAACTAAATATAACAATATATAGAATGTATATTTATAGGTTTGTAAAATACAGGATTTACACTTTTTATATTTATTTTAATATTTATTACATTTTACATTTTCAAGGTTAAAAAAAATCAAATTTTAATAAAAATTAAAAATAATGTTTTTAATGTGTATGTTATAAATAATATAAAGGAATACATTTTGTATAATGTATAAAAGAAGAAGGTGTGCAGAGCTGAGTCCCTAATTTTATATTTTCCCAATAACAAAAATTTTGCCTCTGGGTCATGAAGTAGTTTTCCTCAATAATCCTTAAGTAATATGATTTTGTAAATTTCTAGCATGTGTATAAACTAGATAAAGGAGAATATAACATAAAAATGCATGTACGACATGAACGTAAAGAACTTTTGGATAAAATTTCCGAGCTACAAATCCTATTAGTACAAAAACTGCAGAATTCGTTAACATTAGATGTATACAGTAATCATTATCAAGCATCTATTTTTGGGAAGAAGTGCTCAACATTTGTGATGACTCCCAGTAATGATTTGGTACCGCTGTACTTTGGATGTATTCCCAACGAAAAGTATGGTGGCCGAATAGTATTTATCATTTTACTTTCAGAACTTTATCATAAATGTTTTATAATTTCAGATTAGTTTCATTAAAGTTGACTGCCGGACAATGTCTAAATGGTAATATTGTTTTCGTCAAAGATGAAAATGGAAAAAAAGTAGTATGTATTCATAATATAATAAAAAATAATTATTCTGATAAAAAATATATATTTTACTTACTAAAATATATGGGATTTAAAGGATTACTATACTGTTAAATACGTAATTACGGATACGATAAAATCAAAACCGGGACCAAAACCAATCGATGAAAACAAGTCAAAATTAGAAGAGTTTAAAGAAGCCGTTTGTGATGTAAAAGCAAATTGGTTAACCAAATTCGGTATGTGTTATTTCTGTAGTTGGGCATTGTTTGAATATTATTTTTATCTAGATGAAGTGATGAAGTTTATTACGTGAACGCAGTATAAGTACTTAAAGTGATAAAGTAATAGATTATTATTTTTATTTTAAATTAATAATCTGAAATCATCCAAGATGGTTTTTTATGAATCTAATGAATAAACTACTTATATTTTATTCATTGTGATATGAATAATGTTATTCACAAATAAAATTATCTATTGTCTATCAATTTATTAAATATTTATTATCTAGTTCAAATTTTACTCAACTTTGGTTATTTATTACAAATAAATATATTTGTTTTTCATTAATAAGTATTCAAAATGTTAGATTTAAGAATTGAACTTTAACCATTATTAAATATTTTTTAATATATTTTTTTTGACAGAATATGGTCCTGAGTCAATTAGTTTATACGATAGTCTAGCTAAGAAATTTGGAGATAAAAACTCATCTGTACACACTTCGTGGATTCAATGTATCGAGCCCGATGACAAACGAAAGTTTCCGAACTGTTCTGCCAAAGATTTAGATTGTGATAAGTTAAACCTTATAGTCTCGGCAGCAGACCGGGTTTTATCCATTGTTAACCAGAACGAACTTCTGGCATACTATGGAATAAAATCTGACCAAAGAACTGAAGCCTTTAAATTTAAAACGTAAGAGAAAACATTTAAAGAAAGTTTTAAGCTACAAATATAAAAATATGTAATAATATTGTATAAATATACAATTTGTTAAATTCGTAAATTTCAGGGCCAATGATAAACTGAAAAACAATTTGGTCGAGGCGCTCTGTCGCAAAGGAACAGCACTATGTCAATTATATTATGCCGATAACAAGCAGTTGGTGGAAAGTAAACAAACGTTAGAAGATATCAGCTTAGAAGCCATTGACGACATTTGGCTTCAAGTCACTCGGTTCATTTCACCGGATTCCGATTTAAAGGTTTAAATTATTAAATATTTATGTTTTAATTGTGTTTACAATATTTTTGTGGTTTGTTTGTTGTAGAGTTTCAATTACTTTAATTTGTGGCACGGAGCTGTTTACAAACACTATGGGCGCGTTATGAAAATACTTTTGAAGATGTTGGACGATAAGAACATTAAAGAAATCGAACAGTGTTTGCTGTGGGCTGTAAAAGAGCAGTTTGGTGAAAATCGGTCTAAACACTTAGTCGATGCAATTTCAAGTGCTCTCATCGTGCATTACCCAAAAGCGTATCGTCCATTTTGACTCTAGCAAATTTTAACAATGGTTTAACTTGTTTTTTTTATTTTTGTAAGCCTCGACTTACTTATTATTATATTTCGTATTAATATGACTGTGTTAAAGAAAAAAAAACCACAATAATTGTAAAACATTTTTGTGTTATTAATATTTTTTTGGAATTATTCAATTTTTAAATACACATTTTTTCCCCCAATACTGCAGTTATTACTAACATTTTTAGTTTTATTATGTATATATTTATATTATTATATTTACATTATGGTTTATATAAATAATTTTGTCTACTATTAATGATATATCAATTATATAGTAATGATTTAATGGGTTTAAAAAACATTTTATATGTTACACAGTATTTATGGTGTAAAATATTTTAGGAATTCAATTGTCAAACCAAAAATAGGTTAAGTAGTAAAATTATAACAATAATGTAATTTATTAAACATTATTTTAAAAATATTATTTAGAGTAGTTAATACATTATACATGGTTATCTTTGTATTATTTTAAGTTACAAAAGACATTTTCGTCAGAATAATGTTTATTTACAATATGCTTATTTTTTTAGCTTCAGCGTGACTCTAAAAAAATGCTTATGATTTTACAATAGTTTTTAAAACTTTAAAGTGAAGGACATGATTCCTTTCTATAGATAACTTTGTCAACATGATAAAACTGGACTTGTCCACTTCTGCATTATTTTTTCCAGCAATTCATTTATACAACTGTCGTATTGATAATTTTTTTAAAACTTTAAATGTTGTTTTATAGCTGTTAATAATACAGTTATTATTGAATTCTTAGTGTTAGTTTCATTGTATTTAACAAAAAAAAAAAATTTAATATATTGGGGTGAGAGAATTTTGTTTTTCCAAATAAGCTACCTAATCATCTACTCCACATAAAAAACAAACTGTTAATATGCATTTCTGCAAGTATAATATTAAACAATAAACAGTTATAAACAGTTTTTTTTAGTATAAATAATAAAAAAAATAAAGCAGATTAATGTACAAATTTTATTGAATAACTTAAGTATTTTCAATTTAAAATCATTCATTTAATACAATTAGGCTGTAACTTTTTCTACTGTGTTAGCATACTGAAAATCGGAGCAATTTTCATACTCGCACATATCCAAAGCTACCTCGCAACTTTCTTTTACTACTACTTTTTGGTCGTCGAGGTATTTCTTTAATATTTCATAACAGTCGTCTGTGGCGATTGCGCCCAACGCTTCGGCACATTCATGTCTGACCATGTCATTTTGAGTTTCGTCCATAAGAGATTCTTTTAGATATGGTACACTGAGGGGTGACTGTAGTTGTCCCAAGACGAAGGCAATTTCGTGTTTGAATAGGGCACTGCCATAAGATAGCGCTGAAATAACACAAAAATGTCTGAAAATTTTTATCCATTTGTACAATAAGAGAAATGTTTACCTTTAGAAAGCACAGTTATGCTCTCGGGTGATGCAATATCTCTTAATGAAAACATTGCTCGATATCTATTAAAAAGGTTCTCGTTTTCATCATTCAGAATTTTTTCTAGTTCTTCTACACTTTTAACCTCCGAAGGCGGTGCTGGATCGACAGATCCATAGATATTTTCTACATTGGCTTTGTTTTTAGGTAACAATAGTCTTCCTAGGGCTAACTGACATGTTTCAGCGAGTTCTTGAACGGGATCATTCTTATATTCGTCAAGAATTGGAATGACATCAGGCTTGCCGATAGCTCCTAAAGCCTCAGCTAGACATTCAAAAGTAAAAACATTTATTTATTTTAATAGTTGCTTATTATAGAATTTACATTTATTGTGCAATGTAGTCAAATTTATATTTTTTATTTACGTCTAAAGATCATTCTCACCAGGTTTAAGACAATAGTAGAAAATAGTTCAAAATTGTAAATCAATAATTTTAGAAGCTGTCAATTTTATAAACATTAATTAATATGTAGAAAATGATCACTGTACAATTTTTGTTTTACATAAGAGTAAATTTTCATTTGACTAGTTTTTATAACACTATCAGATCATATTATACTTTTTTAGCAATTACAAGAAAAATAAGAGGATTTTTTGTAATCTTACGACTGATTTCCAACCATTAATATTGTTATTTGAAACTCAATATATATCATACATATAGTGTTACCCATTTACACCCTGTGCCATAACTGTAGATCGCCAGTTTTTAATTTCTATACCAATATTATTTAAATTTATTTATCAAATTAGTATATTATATTATATATACCTTTGGGCATAAATGGGTTGAATAAATGTGTATCACATGGGGTTTTACTGTTGTGTTTTAGCAAATTATATTGGACATAACTCGCATCCTAGTCGATTTAAAAATTACATTTTATTTATACTTATTATTTTATAGGACTGCTTTTGTACCAAATTAATCAATTAACAAATATAAGAACGGTTTTCTTGTACCTGCTTCATGTCGTACCATAGGTTCTTGTTTAACGTCTTTGAGCACTTCTATTAGATACGGAATAGCGTATTCGTCTCTCATCTGCCCCAAACAATAGGCCAGCTCATGTTTCAATAGACAAGACTTGTCTGTAAAACATTTAGCTATGTTGTCTATTGCCAGATCACCGCCTATATTTTTTAATGTAAAAAGTGCTCGAAAACGTTCTTTCATCGGCAACGCCGTGTCCGCCAACACTGTGCCGATTTGACAGATTGTTTCTTTTGAGGTAGCAGCCATCATAATATATTATGTTAAGCAAAAATCGACAAACCGTCAGACAACTAACTCACTAATAAGTAATAAATCAAAAATTGCATTAGCGTAATTGAATTTAAAAATAATAAATACATGTGTGTGTGCATGTATTTCTCTATCATCAATCGTGTTATCAGACACGTTGACGAGCCGTCAGCGCAAAATGGAATTTCCCTTTTTTTCGAAATTAAACCCTTTTGCCATGTTGGTAATAATAGTCTATTGATTTTTTTAATGTAATTCGCCCGAAAATGTACATTGGAAACTGGTCAAAAGAAAACACAGTAACGCCTATATTTTAGTGCTGTTAGGGGTTGATTGTGTTCTTTTTAATCACGTCTTGTTTCCGTACTAGGGCCAACACACAGCCAAAACTCCCGTCAATTTCGCTCAGTTTTCAAACATTCTATTATCTAACTTTGAACAATTTAACTTTTGGGTGTGTCCGTTTCGTATCAGTGTTCAGATGTTATCGAAAACAAATGATCATACTGTTAACAAGGTCTCTTTCGGTTTAGGCGTGTTCCAGTTCAGAAACTGTCCACTTAATTAATAAGAAAATTTGCCTCTAAAGCTCATTTTTTCGACTTGAAAGTAAGTGCATTTTGTTTTAGTAACGTTAAGGGCGTTGGCCTTTGTGTTTTGGCGATCGGGTTTGGTCAGCTGTCGGATAAAACACAAAAATCCAATCTCGACCCTGCCCTTTTTTTTTTTCGTTACACATCATTTTTTAGTGTCCCGTTTGCCAGAGTATTTTATAAAGCGTTGTTAGTATTTCTAGTTATTTGGAAAAAATGACTGAATACTGGCTAATATCGGCACCCGGCGACAAGACCTGCCAGCAGACTTGGGAGACGCTCAACAACGTCACCAGCAAACAGAACAGTCTGTCGATTAACTACAAGTTCCACATACCAGACCTGAAAGTGGGTACTTTAGATCAATTGGTCGGCTTGTCTGACGACCTGGGAAAATTGGACAGTTTCGTTGATACTGTTACCCATAAGGTAGCGTCTTATTTAGGCGAAGTCCTGGAAGACCAACGGGATAAGCTGCAAGAGAATTTGATGGCCAATAACGGTATGTATCACATTAAGAATGGTTTTTTTCCCCCCATCCCATTGAATAACAATGACGATATCCGACGTAGTTCATGTGACTTGTCTCTGTAGTGTACCTACCTTGTCCTACCTACATTTTGAAACATTATTATTTTATTTCCTGGATTTTTATTGGTCATTTTAGTTGAGTTTTTCCTTTACCCTTTGCATCCATGTGCCAACATAACTATACAATAAAACTGTATACTTATTTAACATTTATACTATTGGAAAAACCATAAAAAGCTAAAAAGGCCAAACAAATATTACATATATTTATAATATATATTTATTATCTTTTAATTAATACATTAATGTGTATTATTTAAATTATGGTACTAAGTAATTAAAAAAAAACAAATTAAATTAGATTAAAAAAAAAAGGTTAATATTATAATTATGGGCTTGTGTAAAAAAAAAAAATGCCAAAGTGAAGAACTAAATGCATCCTGTGATTCCATGTTTGCGTGATTTAATCATTTATTTTTACAAATATCAAACATTTAAAAAATTTCTGAAATATTCTAATATTTTTTTCTTTTTCTACAGCTAATTTTGTATTACTATTATTTAACTATCTTTAATGTTATAATTTTTTTTATTTTACCTTTTTATCGGTCACAAAGAAAAGTGCTTGCAACATTTACATTTATTAACATATTTAATTCATACATGATTTAACATTTTCAATGCACATTCAAATAATAAAATGCGGATCCAATTTTAATCTTGTTCATACTTTTTTTGTCACGTAGTGTGTGCAATTGGTAGTTCTTCTTTTGGTGGACCATGAATATAAAAAATACGCTAGTTAATGTCTTTAAATGTTGGTACTTTGTTAATCATTATTAATCAGTATAACTGGGGATGCTGGAAAATTAATTAGATTTGTAACGTGGTTTGTTCGTCATGAGCTTGTGGATTATGATGGATTAAAAAAAAATGATATCAGCATAAATGTCAGATGTCTGTTGTTTAATTATATTATTGCAATGATAGTGTAATTAAATACAAATAGATTCTTTCATTTTTGTACCTTTATATTTATTATTTAATTTGTCATAAGTGCCTATGGTTCTAATGAACTAACCACGACAAAGTCTAAAATTTACTTCCTTTTTATTTTAGCGATCGTTTAAAGAAAGTATCAATCAATAATTAGCAAAAATATATAAATATACATTTACGTATATATATTTTTTTAAATAACTATTTAATACATTTTGTTGATTTTGTATTTACCAAGAGTTAGTTAAGATTTAACTAGGACAGACATGGCATCTCAACTTATAAAATTACAACATATAATAAATAGATGGCCATTTAATTTAATTTCTTTTTTGCATAAAATATATTGGCATACATTTTTTTTTCTTTAAAGGCCAGAAATAATAATTGACTCGAATACTCTATTAGCTATAAAACTGTTCAACACGCTATATCATAATTTTATTACATTAGGGTGGTCCTTATATTGCGTTCAGAGGAATTTGAATAGTTACACCCCAATAGGTTCTTACTGATAAAAATTAGACAACCAAAATTTGTAGGTCTTAATTTCTTTGTTAAGAGTATCCCTAAAACGCTAAAAGTCAGGTAAAAGGTAAACTTTTACCTGAATGTAGAGGCATTAAATTAAGAATGTTCTGAAATTAATATTGCACTATATCGGGTCATAATTTAAAGGGAGAGCTAAGTAAATATATTTAGAATTTGTTTTTCCGTCTCATCAATTTTATATTTTATTTCAATTTATTAAGGAAAATAATGACTTATAAAAAAAGTAAAGTATTCTAGAATGTTTCTTGAAAAATCGTTTTTGCAAATTAATGTGTCTCTCAACATTTAAAACATTTTATTTTTTAAAATGTCTGTGAATTTTCAAAATGTTGAGTGACATGTTAATTTGCAAAAGGACTTAGCAGCAAATATCATGGAATAATTAATTTAATGATTACATCATTATTTTATAAAATACACTAAATTTTGACTTGAAACACATGTTAACATACAAATTAGAACCTGAAATTTTTGGTGGCTTATTTTTTTTAAAATCTATTTTGAACCAGTTTATAAGTGTACCCATTAAAATTCTATAAAAGGCAAAATAAGAACCACCCTATTATTAAAGAAAAAAAAACTTTTATAGATGTTTTGCTTAGTTTAGACATATAATTTAAAAGGATACTTCATGATGTTTTACTATAATAATAAATTTAGCATTTTTTAAACAGCCCTAGTAAAGCCTAGATATTTAGAGAGAGGCCCAATATATTATGATTGGTCTACACATAGTGCCATGTAGCCATAGGTTTAGTGAGGTAGGCCTATGACTTTTTTTCTGTTGGCGATTGCAAAAAGTAAAAGCTTTGTTATGGGTTTGTTGTGTGTGGCGTTGGACACAGCATTGTCTTGAGAGTCGTGGGCCGTGTGCTGGGAAGAGCCCGCCTTGAGCTATTCAAAGTCCAGATGGCCGACAGGCGTGTGTCTAACGTCCCAAGGTAAGCGGCTGCTTTTAGTAGGATGCTTCATGCAGTGTTGGCTTGTGGTTTCATTTTTCAATATTGTAGTTTCCATTTATTATCGTTTTTGAATGTATGTATATTATCTCCTGAAATTGGCATTTTTACGTTTATTATTTTTTATTAATTTATTTGGCCATTGGTGTTCAATGGTTATATTTTCACTATAAAATAATTTTGCTGGCAAGCTCAACTCTATTGATAATTTTTCATTTATGGTAATTACTAACATCATATATATGTATACACATATACACATAAGTATTATAAACTGGAGTTAACATAATAATTATGACTTTTCACGAGAATCTAACTATGTAGAATAGTTTAAATTTTCTAGCCATTACCTTATTACATTTTATAGCGATTGGAGAAAAGTTATGTATTTTTATATAAAATAAGTAAAGTAAACTCATGTAGAACAGATATAGTTATTTTTTACCATTGATTTTTAATATTGTTATAATGTTAGGGGTAAAAGAACCTATAGCTATATTAATAAGGAATAATTGAAAATAACAAAACTATTATAATTTATTGTTTTTAATAATAATAACAATTTGTTTGATAATTATTTATAAAGATAAATCATCAAAAAGTACTTGAGCTTGTAATTCAAATTTATATTTTTATGTATTTATTCTGTATGTTTTTTTTAAACAATTGACCACATTGAACTGATGACAGTAACTTCTCATTATTCATATTATATTTAGTAGATTTTTGTTGTTCCCTACTTTGTTAATTCCCTTACTATTTTAAATATTTAATATATATATTTTAATCAATTGTACATTGGTAAATATAATCAATAATTGTAGAATAAGTATAATCTGTAAAATTTGATTTACTTAGTTTAAACTTAAATTTATTCCGGTCAAAAACTTGTTTGAAAAAAAAATTATCAAAAATAAAAGCAGCTTTATTGCTAAAAGTTAATTAGTAGGTACGTTGATTTGATATGCACACTAGGCTTATGCACATAATACTGTTTGTATAACCACAAAAGTTAATTTTACATTTTACACGTGATTTTTTTATTTTGCCTTTTTTATTTTGAGTACATATATAGTGTATGTTATTTTTAAATTTAACGTAAGAGAAAAGAAAAATAACTAAACAATTCCTATATATATATATATATATATATATATATATATTCATATATTAAATATACACAAATATTGCTCAATTTTAATAAATTATCGTGAATAATGTCTGATACTTCACAGCAAGCTTATGTTATTACGGTTAGCATTTAAATCATAATAATTTATTCTCTAAGTAATTGGCGATGTATTGCCATTTTTTATTTGAAGGGGGGGGGGATTTTTTCACGTTATTATTATAATATTATAACACTCATATTTAATGTAAAAATTGACTAAGATGAATATTTAATCATATTAAACTAAATTTAACGACCATAACTATAACTAACTGTATAATATAAAATAAAATGGTAACATTTTCAATGCATCTGTAACAGGGCATGGAACAGTTTTCTATTGTTTTTTTTCAATTTGGACTTTCAAAAGTTACTTAAAATTATCCTTAAAACTTAACAGTATTGTCTATTCTAAAATAAATATCTACTTTAATTCTAAGAACTTGTAATTGTTTTCAGATATTTTTTTATACTAAAAAGGGTCAGGTAGTTAAATAAATACTACTAATATAATGTTAATAATAAATAATAATAACAAGTTTTCACTTAAAACATATTGTTTTGTATAATACAACTATTTAATTTTGACGTTTATAAATAATGTAAGAACATTATAATTTTTATAACAAATGAAAAATGGTAGTAAGATTAATTTGATCAGTTACGAATAATGTTTGCTTTAAGTAGCTTTTGAATAATGAAAGTTTTATTAATGTAAAACAATGAATGTATATATTATACAGATATGAATTAATGTTGATTTTTGATAATAATACAATTATTATTTATTGCCCAATAATAACAGTTTTCAATGTAAATGTTTTGTTTACCAGTAAATGAAGAAACTTAATTTAATTAAATCGCCAGTGACAAAAGGGATAAATGTATTAAATGCTACATTATTTTAATTTTTCTTTTTTTTTCTTCATTGTTACGATTTGTGTCTGTTTCATGCTCTGCATCAGTTGATTATATTGTTGTCAAAAACAAAAAACATAAAGTGTATAGCAAATAATCACTTGCGGCTGAGTATAAATTATTGTTGTTTTAGGAGACCTTGCCGTCTACTTAACCCATTTTCAATGGGACATGGCTAAATATCCAATCAAGCAATCGTTGCGTAATATAGCTGACATAATCAGCAAACAGGTTGGGCAGATCGATGCAGATCTTAAAACCAAATCGTCCGTTTACAATAATCTCAAGAGCAGCTTGCAAAACATGGAAAAGAAACAAACAGGTAGTTTGTTGACAAGAAACTTGGCCGACATAGTGCGCAAAGAGCATTTCATACAAGATTCAGAGTATCTGACCACTTTGCTTGTAGTTGTGCCCAAGTAATGCAGTTTTTCTACATTAATTTAACACTGTATTCTCTGTCATACACTACAATGATTAGTGTTCTTGTACTCATTAGATCTGCTTTTTCCGATTGGAATCAGAATTATGAAAAACTGACGGACATGATTGTACCGCGTTCCAGTCAGTTGGTTAGTCAAGACAACGATTACGGTTTGTACACCATAACCTTGTTCAAAAAAGTGGCAGAGGAGTTCAAGCATCATGCAAGGGAAAAGAAGTAAGTACAACTTATTTTCTAAAAATGCAGTATGTACCATTTGACTATTTTACAGTGGTGAATTGTTAAGTTTTTCCTTTAATTTGCTTACAGTATTGAATGCATTTTTTCCTGCATAGATTATTTTATTTACCACGTTTATGAAAAAAAAAACTTTCTATTTTCATCAACTTATACAGTAAACCCAAAATTGTACTTGCAACATATTTTAGTTGAGCTGTCGACACCAAAATCAAATAGCTAAAGGCCATATGTTTTAGAAGTATAATTCCAAGATTTTATAAGTGATTATATTAACACCTCTTATAGAAATGAACACAATATTCTTTTTTTGATAAATACTAAAACATTAGTTTTTTTCTGACAAAAACCAATTGCCTTAACTTCTTTACAAAGACTAGCACATTTTGTTTTATTTTGACAAGGATAATATGTTTGCTTTTTTCCATAAAAAACCATCACTTATTTTTATCTTTGTCTGTAAAATCCAAATTTGCTGTTTATGTGCTAGTTTTTGTAAGATCAATTGATATTAAAACTTATTATTAAATCCCTCCGCTTAAAAAAAGATTAAAATTAACCATTTTTTGTTTATTTATACATTATTTTTTTAATTTAATTTTTAGGTTTATAGTTCGTGATTTTACCTATAACGAAGTTGAACTCGCTGCTGGCAAAAATGAAATAACCAAGCTTGTTACTGACAAGAAAAAACAATTTGTAAGTACATTTTACGTATACTATTGTTATTAAATACTTATCTGTATTATTAAATGTAAACAATTTTTTTGTGTATTAGGGGCCGTTGGTTAGATGGTTAAAAGTCAATTTTAGCGAATGTTTTTGTGCCTGGATACATGTTAAAGCTCTTCGCGTGTTTGTTGAATCTGTGTTGAGGTAATCAAACTCGATTAAACTTAATAAGCCGGTCCCATACGACTGGTAGTACTAAGGGAAGTTTCACTTGAACAATTGTAGGCCTTTACCGATTGATTTTGGGTAAACTTGTTACAAGTCATAGCAACGCCAATGTTGGCCAAATAAACCAGTAGCAGTGGACCGGGTTTAAACAAAATATCTAATCAGGGTTCTTGGAATACTAAAATTGATTGTTGTTATGTTTTTACAGATACGGTCTACCTGTAAATTTTCAAGCCATGTTATTGCACCCGAATAAAAAAAACACTAAACGGCTCCGTGACGTTTTGCACCAATTATACGGCCATTTGGACAGTAGTGCTCAACAAGGTGGTGCTCCTGGTACACACGATGTATGTTGTAATATGCTATGTATGTGCGATTTAAATTTCTGTTTAATCGTCCTTTGTTTGATTTCAGAGTGTCGACATACCCGGACTTGGTTTTGGACAAGCCGAGTACTTCCCGTATGTCTACTACAAAATCAATATAGATATGGTAGACGCTAAAGCGTAAGGTTTATTTATTTTTAATTAAAAATCATCCCATCATTTTAATGATTTTAAACCATTACATTTTTTTATAAAAACTTGCACAATATAAGAAATAATTATTATCGATAATTTTTTTTTCGCTGTCGGAATTACATTTAGTTTGTTGTAAAATGTTTTCCATCCATTCGGTCTATCTTCATGTTTAATATTTAGCCTATCTGTATACATTCCTTTACCATGCTATTAATTTTTTAATTAATTATTATTTTTAAAAGCAATATTTTCTAAACATGTTTTAGTACTGTTACGTTGTTTGTTGTTTTTTTTTTTGAGTTGTTGGAAAATAATATTTTATATTATTGAATTTAAGAGAAAAAAAATGTATTTATTTTAATAAGTAAAAATAGGTTAATGAAACTAAAAATATTTTAATTATTCAACCGTAGTAAATAAACATGATTTGAAATTATTGTATTTTGTAAATATAATTCATTCATTATCCTTTAGTAGTACTGACATTGTAGATATCGCTCTTGTTGGAGACTGTACACCTAATTTACTTATATTAGTATATAAGATTTATTGAGGGTTTCAGAGGTACAATTCATTTATAATATCCCCTTTTCATAATATTGTTGATTTATACGCTTAAAGTTTGCAATTAAAGCTTTAAAACATATTTCAAGAGTTTTGTTTAGTTTAACATACTACGGATAACGGAATGATAGTACACAATTTGGATAGCTTCATAAATGTGTGTATTGTAATGTTGTTTAGTAATACGTTATTTGATATTATCTCACTGCCAATTATTATTTTTTCATTCACTTGTTAAATTCAACGCATATTTACTAAGTTCTACGACAAATAAATGATTGTTAAAAGAAAAAATTGCTAATTTAGCATTACTAATAGCATTACTAATTTAAAGGAACCAAATTTCATTTCAGTATTTCCATCGGTAGTAGGTTTGATCCCACCATTGGCCGTAGTAAATTTTGTGTATTGTTTTGTGTGAAATAATTATGCAAATCAATGTGATACTTTTTTAGTTCTACAAAACGAATAAAAGAAAAAAGATTTTACTATAGTCATTTGAAATAAATCACCTTTTTTTATTATTGTAACTGAAAAAAAAAATGTTTTTCAACAATATTCTTTCACATTGCAAACACAATTCAAATAAACTACTCGAAAATGACTCTGCTTCTGATTCCCTCTAATGTTATTATTGTATGCAAGTGATTGTTTTTATTATAAATTATTATTATTATTATTATATAATTAAGATAAGTTCATAAGTATTAACAATTATTTGGGTTTATATTTATAATAATAATAATAATAGTGACGTGTTATAACATTCCTACGAGCTACAACTTTTTAGAACATTAAAACCAAGTGATAGCTTTGTGTTGTACATTGTGGTTTATTATTATTATTTTTTTTTTGTTGAATTGTGTAATAAACTATTTAAAATGAACAAATTGCTTATAAACGTTGAACTATTATAACAGGGTTATTGTTTACACATAAAATTTAATATTTCATTGAAAAATCTAATTGGATTTTAAAACTAAAAATTCAAAGAGCGTAGCAAGTTGTAACGAAAATAATAATATTAGTTTTAACACATTTGTAACTTCTCGTAGTGTTTCTGACTACTACTTCAAAAGCTTATAGCTTGTGCTAAAAATATAAATTTAATTAAATAATGTATGTAATACAAATTAAGTAAAAAAAAAAACACTTTTATATAATATTTATACAAACGGTACATAAATTAATTTATTATTGCCAAAAATGCGGCGATTCTAAAAAAATTAACTAGTTCATTATTCTGTTTAAATGTGTTAAAATTATTGTCCTCACAGACTGCTATCTTTATCACTTATTTTGAATGTTTTCATGCACAAAATTGTAAAAAAAAATAATAATAATCAAGTGTTTATTTTAGACTTTTAATGGTAAAATATAATAAAATTGTTAATTATTTTGTATAAGCATTTTTAAAATCAAATTAGGTACACTCAATACATAATATGTATTATTTAAAAATTGTTTTTCTCTCATAAACTGTTTAAAAACAATAAATTGTGATTTAACATCTAGTTCTTATCGTTTGTGTTTTATTGATATATATATATATTTTTATAAGTGTTCCAGGCACCTAGCAATAATTGGTATTTATATTATGGTTATAGTTTGAAATTTAAAATTTCAGGTTAACTAAAATTTTATTGTTTGGATTAAAATTTTTGTATTTTTTTGCTATTTTAAGGCAGACTTACTAATATATACTACTTACACGGTCAGAACGAAACCTAAATCGCAATTATTATGTTTTCAAAAGTAAAGGTTAGGTTACCTGCATGTGTTATTTAAATATTATTGCCGATTAATTTTTTAGAGTAACTTGATTTTTGTTAATTAAAAATGGAAAATTGTACCAGATTTCTAGAGGGGTTTTTTTTGTTGCGAATATCTACTTTGGTGTGTACGAACAAATCGTCGAGTTGCTAAAATGGTACACTTATGCGATTTTATTAATCATTTTGATGGCTGAAAATGGACGAGATACCGTTAAAAAGTCATCCAGACACAAAGAAATAACTAAAACCAATACATTCTGAGATCCACGTGGAAGTTTAGAGGCGTCTATTGGTTCATATCCTTGAAACAGTTTGCTATGAACTTTCTTTGTAAAAAGTTTCTTTGTAAAATTGTTTTATTTTAACGAAGAAGTAGTGACGAACAGTCTGCTATTAATTTCGTTCCAGGCTTGATTTTTCGGAAATTTAAACACACTTGAATAGTTTCATTGTTATTTCGAATGCCGTACTCGGAATATACCTACTTTGAAGTCTCGATAATTTGAATTCACTCGTCCCTAATTATTATACAAAGGCATCGAGTAATTAATATTTATGAGATGAATTCCTGTTGAACCGAATGTCTCGAGACCACGGGCCAACAGCTCCAGGGCAGATGGGATTCAATAATAATCAAATGACCCCAAATTTGGTAATTATATTAATTATATTATCCGCTTGTGATGTGTAAACGGACCGGGCAAACCGCTCGCACCGGCTTTAATAATATAATGTAATTGCTTGTCCGAGATTTAATTAATTTGAGTTGGGTCATTTGTGGAATCTCGATTGGGTTTGGTATAGCACGAACAAGAAACAAAAAAAACAAAAAAACAAAACCTTAACCGCATTATCGCGGTGTGACGTATTGAAAGTGTCTACCCCCACGTTCAGGCACTTAAATTATTTTAAATACTTCAGATGACTTATCGTTTATCGTAACCGTAATCTCGAATGCTCGGACAGAATCGCGCAAACCACTGTGTGCCCCTGGAAAGCTATATAAATAATGTTATAATTTATTTTTAAGAATTTGATCGTCGATTGTAGTTTAAACGTTTGTGTAAACCGGGTTGGCGAAAAACGTTTGGTATTTGCTCAAAACTTGGAGGTTTTCAATTTTCAAGGCTTATTCAAACCTAATGACACTTAACTGGGTCAGAACCCTAGGTTTTTTGCAAACTCGATTTATTATGATTAGCGTTGGTGTGGCACGGCACGTTCAAAAAATATTGGTTCCCTTTAATGCACCTTCTTGGCGCAAATGACAGCCCACCAAACATTCCAACTTTGAGTTGTAGTTTTCCTTATATGTATTTTCACCCTTATCGTTTGAGTTTTAATCGTTCAAATACCAAACATAATTGCCCAGTGCCACGCTAGGTCGGTAGTAAGTCTGCTGCAACATCTACCTATATATTATAGTCTTTGTTGAGTTAAAAAATGCTAAATGGATGCTTAGGTATTTCCATAGGCGCAATTTCGCCAAAATAAGTGGGGTACTTTATTACTGGATATATATTATAAATTCATCTCTCCATACTATTAATGGTAAGAACACAAACAGTTGTAGGGGTGTTATTTATGCCCAAGCTCCCTTCAAATTGCGTTTAGTTTATTTCTTAGTTCTAACAGAATAAACAGAAACGCAATTTTACTTAAAGAAAAATTCGAGTGTTTAATCAGTAACGATATTATATAGTAAACGATATTATAAATTTAATTTTAAGTATTAAGGGAACGTTGACCTAACTACTTCTAACTGTATGCACGAAAAAAAAACCAAGAAAATATTAGTCAAAATTATCTACATAAAATATAGAAACTATAAACGGTCTGCTATGTACTTTACAGTGGTCTTACTGGTTTTTACTGTGAAAAAAATCGCACTTGATGTTTAGAAAACATATTTTCATATAAATTAATTAATTTAATATGTATTTATATAATGACAAAAATTAATTATGTTTTTACCTACATTTTTAAAAATGTAAAATGTTTGTATCCGCACAATCCCGAACACCGGGAAGTTGCCCTCTGGCATTTCCTGGATTCGGTGGGAATTATTAATGCTATATATTTACATTGCACTCAGTAGGTGTATTTGTGTAGCTTTTACACAAGCGCCCGTTGGCATTTCAAATGTTACCGGAATACTAAACGGTTTAGATTTAATTTTCAGTGTAAATAATACATGATCAGGTAGGTAGGTAACCAAATGAAGTTAAACGTTTTCATTTACGCCTACTTACTATTGATCGTTATAAAATTTCACGTTTACACAATTCGCCCGAATCCTGTACAATCTCGCAACCGAAATATGTTTTAATTAGTTTATTGCTAATTTCATTAATTTATTCAATAGCTGTTGAATTCCAACTAAAACTAAACGAACCTGATTCGGAATTCCCTATCTAAATACACAGGGACACATTCTTGAGAGAGGGCTACACCAGCATATTTATTTAAGGGTCCGGGATAGGCAATTTGTTTTGTACAATTTTAGTTTTAACGTAATAGTAACTATAGTGTGTAGTGTGTATTTATTAGTACATCAATGACAATTCTTGTTTGGTAATAAAATTGTTTTACCAGATTTTAGCAGTGGTGGCCATACCGTTTTTAAATATTTGTGAAAAAAATTGAGTACATAAGCAGCTGATGATGGTCGCGTTGTTATCCAAATATTATAAAATAATATAATATATATATATGGCCTACTATTTATTATATATAAATAGCTATAACTCCGTTACTAAATACAAATTCGAAAATTCGCTAACGTACAGCCCTTAAAAATTACTGTACTGTAAGATTTATTATTAGGTGATTTTTACTGTAATACAGAATACTATTCGAAATTCAATACAACACTGATGTGCGTGCCCATGTGTTTTACGTACAATTTAGGTAAGCGATTTCAGAAATAGTGATACTAATTCCAGAAAAATATCATTTTTATACCTACTAAAAACTTTTTATTATAGTATTGGTTTTCGATTTCGGGCGTTGTTTTAGAAAACCGAAAATAGACAGTCAATGTATTATAAGTAACAACACAATGGATCCCGTTTTAAAAAGCTTGCGAAAGGTTGCATTTGAACCGTGTACGAGCAAAATTGTCCGTTTTAGAAAAATGTTGTTCGTACACCGTTGAGCCCCACACACTACATTGTTTTCCGGTGTTAATAAAACGGTGACCGTTTTATTCGTACACCGAGTCATCCACACACTACGTTACCATTAGTTTCAAAAGTTGTTATAAAAATAATTAATTTTAGAGGGAGGTAAAACAAAATTTTTTTTAAAAATTGAGATCGGATTGTATAAAAACTTTATGCAAACAATTTTTTTATATTAAACCTTATGGGCTATGATGTAACGAGTGGTTTACGATAAAATGATCACCCTGTATAAGATATTTGTAATAATGTATCTTAGTTCAGCTAGTTTCTTACGTTATTGTCAGACCAATATTTAGTATGCAATTTGTATACATTTGTATGACAATATTCAGAATTTGTACGATTTTGGTTTATAAGGAAAAACGAGAAAATCATGGCAGGAGCTGGAAAAACGTTTCTCTACCCCCTCCCCCAATACAAATACCAAGATAATAATATTTCTTTTGACAGTGATAATTACACAATTTGTATACATTTTTATGACCATTTTGGTATATATTATTATATAATTTTGGCATAGATACTGTTATCGATCAATAGGTTTAACTCCTTTCCCAATTTTAAAGCATATTTTTTTAGCTTATGTTTTCAAAAGTTCTTAACTATATTTTCTACTTTTTTTTCTTGTTGTTATCAGTTATGCTCTATAAATTTGTATTATTTATTCTCATTTGATAATAGGTACATGTACAGGTGTACTTGTAGGAATAATACGCAGCATACAATCTACATAATACCACCTTTAGGGATTGATAATATTGTAAGTGCGACTTTTTGGACTTAGTGAAAAAAAACAACGCTCAGACGTTTTTAATAATGAATTTTTAATTATAAAAAAACATAGCAAACTAAAAAAACTACTATAGTATATTATTATTTTATTAATGCCGTTTTCTTATCTGTTTTTGTTGCTCGGAGCGCTAAAGAACGGAGAATAAATTAATTTTAAGAGTTTTAGCCAAAGTGTTTTTAAGTGTAACCTCTCCATCCCCTCCCGTGTTCCTATTATTTTCAAATATCATTATTATTATGTACCTACAAATAAAATACAATCGTTTTCTTACATTAATAACAATTTTTCAACCCCCTTCCCCACCCAAAAATACAACTCTGGATACGCCACTGTACTCTGGAGTTTGTTTTTTAATTTTTCCATTACATGGCCCGATCATCGACAACAAGTATGTGCGTTTAATAAATTTATGCTAAACCCAGTGCTGAAGTTCACCGAAGAAGAATACTTGTAGACAAACTCGGGTCAGTTATATTTATTAGGTATTATCATTATTATTGTTATTTGGTACCCATAAAAGCGCACCCCGATATAAAAGTCTGGCGCACACGGTGTACGGTGTTTTCGTC